CAGCGAAAACAATGCAAAAGTGACGAGAACCACTTGAAAAGAAATGAAAAAGCAAGGAAGCCAACCCCGAACCAAAGAAAAAATATCCCGGCAAGAGGCCCGAAACAGTGTGGGGGGTGGGATGATAATGTATGATAAAGTTGTTGATGATGATGATGATGATGATGACGAGGAGGATGTTGAGGATGATGATGTTGAGGAGGAGGATGAGGTGCAGGAGGATGAGGATGAGGATGAGGATGATGTTGAGAGGGACGAGGATGAGGATGATAATGCGGAAGATGAAGTGGAGGAGGACAAGGTGGAGGATGATGATGTTGAGAAGAGGAAGATCATCATGTTGAGGATGATGATGCTGAGGAGGATGATGAAAATGATGATAATTTTGCGGAAGATGAGGTGGAGGAGGATGATGTTGCGGAAGATGAGGTGGAAGATGATGATGTTGAGGAGGAGGATGTTGAGGATGATGATGTTGAGGACAACGATGTTGAGTATGATCATGTTGAGGAAGATGAGGATGAGGATGAGGATGACAGTGCGGAAGAGAAAGTGAAGGATGATGAGGTGGAGGATGGTGATGCTGAGAAGGATGATGGTAAGGATGAGGATAAGCATGATGACGATGATGGTGATGAAGATGATGATGAACATGATCATGATCATGATCATGATGATGATGATGTTGATGTTGATGGTGATGATGATGTTGCAGACGATGATTTTGACGGTGATGATGTTGAGGACGATGAGGTGCAGGAGGATGATGTGAAGGATGATGATGTTGAGGGGGATGATGAAAAGGATGATAATGCGGCGGAAGATGAGGTGGAGGAGGATAATGTTGCGGAAGATGAGGTGGAGGATGATGAAGTTGAGGATGATGATGTGAAGGGGGAGGAGGATTTTGTTGAGAATGAATGATTGTGTTGAATGGTGCTGAGGAGGAGGAAGATGATGATGTGGGGGATGATGATGTTGAGGAGGAGGACCGGTCCGAAGACCTAGGACTAGGACCACACTTTCTGCGAGCCTGCGCAGTCGAAATGCACTTTAACATTTCAAAAGAGCCACTTTGCACGGAAAGTTGCACGAAAAATGCCGCACCCCAGATTGAGCCCAAAACGCAGACACACACTGTGCGAGCTTGCGCGGTCGAAATGCACTTCAACATTTCACAAGAGCCAGTTCCTACAAAAATTTACGGGAAAAATGCCGCGCTTCAGATTGAGCCCAGAATGTAGACGCACACTTTGTGCGAGCCTGCGCAGTCAAAATGCACTTCAGCATTTCACAAGAGCCACTTTGCACGGAAATTTACAGGAAAAATGCCGCGCCCCAAACCCGTGGACCACACTTTGTGCGAACCTGCGCAGTCGAAATGCACTTCAACATTTACGGGAAAAATAAAGATTGTAAAAGGCCGCAGACCAGAGTGTGCACCTTGATCAAGCACCGCTTTTACTCGAACCTCTCAGTGCGGACACACTGTTTGCGGAAAAATTGCCAAATTAATTTCGCGCCCAATACAAACACCAAACAGAAGGTTGGATAGGATGCCGGCCAGGCCGTCAAGTAAAATGTTCGAGCATACGCCAAAGAGAATGTGAGATGGAATGCTATAAAGTATGCTGGTTGAAATGTCTGGTCGAATGTCACCGCAACTGTCGAATAAGATGTGTGAACATATGGGAAATGTATGTCAGATCGAATGAAGAAAGATAAAACGAGAGATAAAGGGGGAAATTGTTAGAATATGTGTCAGGTAGGAAATAAAATATAAAAAACAAAAACAAAACATTATCTTGCCCTTGCCTCCGGCCCTTGCCTCCGTCTTTGCCGCCTTTAATGATCCCTCCCTCATGGTCATAGTTTTAGGCCTCCTGCTGGGCCCACTTGCGTTCCATTCCAATTTTGCCCTTCGCATTCCAACATTTTTTTCCAGGGTTCTTTCCATCTCTTGTTCACCTGATCCATCAATGTGGCATGAATTCGTCAGCCGGCGCACTCATGTTGGGGCCTATTTCTGTCACGGACTGAATGGGTTCATTCGGAATGAACGAGAGGGCGCGGCCACCAGCACGGCTGATGGTAGTGGGCGCAGGTGGTGTGGGGGGAGTTGGCCACTGGGACTGCTGACTTGCAGGCGGCCTCAAGGCACTGAAACATCGCCGGAATTGGTTGCGGTCGTGAGTTTCGGAGTTGTTTTTTTGATCTGAGAGCCCGCGGCCAAGTTTGGTTTACGCGCACTGAGGTTTTGTTTAAGCCATACTTTTAAACAAATGTTTTCTTAAATATGAACATGTGTTTTTTTATTGTTATACATTCTGAGATTTAACGCCGGGAAGGGCAAAGGACTCAACCATCAGCCTTCCCAACTGGAAAAGTTCCAACACTGGGATGTCAGGCAAACATGATTTTGTTCCTATTTTTTTTTCAGATGGACGGTCAATGTTTTGACTGGTAAACCGGTCAACCTTGCAGCATTGGTAACATGCGTTTTTTTCATTTCTTGATTTTCCTTGTGGTCTTTCATGCTGCCTATACACCCCCCACAAGTAACCCCCTGAAGTTGTTTGATCTCACCCACGGTTGGGGCATGCCCTGCCCAATCCATGCAAAGATCCGTTGGGTACATGTTGGGTTGAGGCATGTTGGATTGGGGCCGTCATGACTGTGCTTCACGTTTTTGTTTCGTTTTTGGAAACAATCAATGGTCACAAAGGGGCACATGTTTTTGGAATGATTTCTTCGACTGGCATTGCCCTCATCATGCAAGCATTCGCACACTGGAGCGGGTTCTTGAGAAACATGTTTGCAATCAAAATAACGCCAAAATATGTTTGTTTCCATTTTTCTTGACATTGGGCATCATGTAAGTTGAAACCGTTTCACTATCAGAATCATTCTTTGTTTTTGCTTTCTGATGACGCGATCACGATCATTTTTTTGTTATCGCTCTGTTGAAAGGTACCACCCTGTCCTGACCAAAAATAATATCTGAATTTCGTGCGGGTGTTCGAACATTTTTTTTAATGGCAACTTACTTGCCCAAAACGGAGGACTACTGTAGGACAACCACTTGAGGAAGTTTCGGCGATATTTCGATGGAAACTTGGGTAACAACGTAAGGGCGTAATGGCACCATTTTTTTTCAATTCGCAAACATTTTGACATAACAACAATTGGAACCAATCATCGCGATTATTTTCCTCCAACCATTGGGTGTTCCTCAGTAACTGTTTTCTCATGGGTTTGCTCTTAGACCAATGGGGAGATTTTCGTTTGCGGATTGATTAGGGCCTCACGACATCTCACGACCACGATGTCTTGAAGAAACATGAAGAAACGGTGTCCCGGTGCCCCGACACATGCTATGGAGAAGCCAAGTGTTGCGGCAATCACGCCGTTCAAAGATGTGTAAAGCATATTTAAGATTACTTGATATCATACGTTCCGAACGCAGTGCGGTACACGAATGTTTTTGTTTGTTTACCCCTTCTGCGTCCCGAAACATGTCAAGGGAATTGTGTATCGCTGAAGCGCCGGAACTTCTTGTTGATGTTTTGTTCTGCGTTGAAGACATTGGTCTTGACGAAAATGCAGAACGACTTGATACACATGTGACTGGAGCCCTTTTGGTTCAATAAGATAGGATGATGGGATCGGAAACTGCAAAGATAATTGCATTCACTGGAAGTCAACCAATGCCACAATCAGCCACACAAGCAAATCGGAAGAGAAGATGCTGTCATCATCTCTCATGTTTGCCTCCTCGGGTCTGCATTTCGGAACCTAAAATTTGTTTGTCGGCGGATCCAAACATGGCAAGTGTTCGGGATGGCCGATTGCATGAACTGCCAGCATCTCAATCACGAAATTTGGCAGGTAGGCATTCAGCCAAGTCGCTGGTCAGCGGAGTTCATTGACCCAAATTTGGATGGCTCAAGCCCTATGATTCCAATACAATACCATTGGGGAGGGCAGATGAACATCCCCAACTACCAGCGCGAAAACCAGGGGATGCCAAGGCGAACTGATGGATACTCAAATTGACTTCCGAGGGGTCCCCATGAGTTCCCCATGGTTTGTCAGATACTTTCCATGAATCCAGACAAACCCAAACGTAATAAGCGACGCCGTGACGCTCACTCTCAGGCGCAAGCGAGGAAGCGGCATGATGGCCTTGGCGGCCATGTCCGTATTGTTCGTGCACCCAGCCGAAGATGTCCTATGCAAAGCTTGAATTTTGCTCAGACGGACAGATGGAAGACTGGTTCAAACGTATGGTCTTTATATGACTGGGGGCACGCCATGTGACCACAATGTGGACTATGGATAGTAATTGATTTTTGATCCACAGCAACGTGTGATGAGTGCCCGCAAAATTCGAAGGTCCTATTGCCACTCCGACCCGCTTTGATGGGCCGGATGTTCAATTGCTGGCTCCGGTGCTGTTGTTCATTTGACGGCTTGATGGCACAAACACAAGTGCTGTCAACCCCGGATTAATAAACGCCGCTTGACTACACTTGTAACTAGAAGGATCCCCACATAGTGACAGATAGTGATAGTCTATGATAGTCTTGTAATGTCTTGTATTAAGATGGCACCTCTCAACGAAACAGCCCAGTTGTTTGTCGCTGGTCGTGGCAGGTTCCACCTTTGCAGTGCCTCAAGGGGCTCGTTTGCGACTGGCAGACTCCACTATTGATGCCACCCACCAGCATTTCTGGGCGCAGAAATTCACAGATTAATCCACAAAATATCACAAAATAGTGATTTGACTGGGATATGCATGGTATTAATTAGTATGATGAATCGGTGATCATGGTTTATCTAACTATTTATGTTGTTTTTCATGACACCCCAATGGTAACTTGAATGGCAATGGCAACCCTAAAATAGGCTGACGGGCGTTATGGTAACCCCAATTTGAGGGGCCTTATTTGATGGGGTGGTGACCTTCGGAGGCGCAGACAGCTCGATATGCCGGGCCAATGGTGAAGGACCGCTGGCCCGGAGAACAGTATGTGTGACATGTTTTTAGCCCCCCCAACTAACATGAACATGGACCCTGATAAGCACAAATGTTTTGGAGCAAAGTAGTTTTTAAGACCCCTATTTGGCATTATTTGGCAGGGTCTAATTATGTCGATCGGAGGAATTAACAATCTTGGATCTTGCAAAGTTCCACCATGTTTCGACGCACTTTTGTCGTGAAAGCCGGGTTGCAGGGGACGATTTGATACAATAGTCATCAAATTTGAATTCAAGTTTGAGAAGCACCGGCCTTGCAAGGGAGAAACTCTGCGTTGTCTGCAGGTTGACCAATTTTTTTCGATGCCAGACATATAGGAGCCATCATTCTCCAACCGTGCTTCGTTTGTGGCAGCTGGAGCATTGCTAGCAGCTACTACCCTTAGTGCTGGGCCCTCAACGCTGACAGCCAGCCACCGTGCTAGTTTGAGCCCACAGATGCCCAGGTGGACAGGCTGAAATGGCAGAAACTGTTGTCGCCTCAGATGGGACAAACAACAAGACCTGGACTTGTCTGGTTGTTTTTACTACTTGCTGTATTTTTTTATGATGATCCTAGTTGATCTTTGTTTTACGGCACGGGTTGGAGCCACCAACCAGAAAAGAAACAATGACACGAAATATACAGGGCCACAGCCGCTGCAGAGGTACGCAGATGCATCTGAAAAGGAGGCGGCAGCACCACCAAAACCAAAAAAGGCACCAGGGGCTGACGGCCTGCAACATCAGTGCGGGGCAGGATTATGTTTTTGTAATTTTTTGTATGTGTTTGATTGTTTCTGTATGTTTTTGTATGCGAATGTTGGAGGTGCTGTGCAATGTTCGGGCCTCTTTGTGTATTCAAAAATGAATGGGAGAGGGGTGGGATTATCTGTGCTATCTTGATGTTCTTTTTGCCCTTTTTGTATCTTTTTGTCAGGTGCGCATCACTGCGTTTGACGCCATTCGCTTCTTCCTCATTGCGTACATTGTGTGCCATCCTTAGTTGTTGCACCTCCCCTATTAGCCTATAACCCACATGCCAAGGGCAGTTCCCAGTTGCTCAAGTGAGGTGCGGCCACTTTATCAGCTTTGCGGCGCCAAGTCCATTCGCATTGAAAGTTGGGTCCCTCAATGGCGCTTCAAAGCTCGGGATGGAATGGAAGGGTCAAGGATTGAAAGTTGGGTCCCAAGGGACCACAAGAGATCCAATTTGGCATGAAGTCTTGATGTAGACAACCAAGATCAACCAAGGCCATCTCGCAGATCAATGTGGTTGTCCGGGGCCCTAGAACTCACACCGCTCCCTCATCGCTCGTCCTCATGGTACGTGAACCATGTGAAAAACAACATAGAACACATAAAACTGTCTGGGGAATGTATTCTTGAGGGGGGTTTCACTTCCAAACGGAAGCCCGCCTGGAAGCCCAGCAAATTCACCAGGTGGGGGCATTCTTCGCATTGAGTGGCTATGTCGCAGCCTCCTGCTCAGTTGACCTTGCAGCGCCTGCAGCCTGTCCAAAATGATTTGCCCAGATCAGCGTTCTGCGTGCCAAGGCGTATACAACCACGGAGAACGCGGAGCGGGCTGCAAGCCCAAAGTTGCTGAACACGTTGGATGCTTGGACGTTTTCTTTGCACTGTTCAAATGCAAGTCTGGAGCAACAAACGGGTTTGTTTGGAAATGGAGTACCCCCAAAGGTTCACAAAAATCAAAAATCCATGGTTTATCAATGTTTATCATCATTGGGGGGAATCCAAATTTTTGGAACAAAACCAAATGTGTGTTTGCTCTGGTGTCATGGTGCTAAGCTTTGCCACATCCATTGACGAGTCATTCGCACGCAGTTAATCACCAAATCTTGTTTTGGAAGTTTGGGGAAACGGTTTTGTTGCGATGGACATCCAATCCATTCTTGCTTTCTGCGATTGATGTTGACTGCCTCAAGCCACATAGGCAACCTGTTGTAAGATCACATGCTTTGCAAAGAGCACATGTTTTGCAACAGAGCCTGCAAGAGTCGATCGGAGTGATCTTCGAAAACATACTCAGCAAGGCTGAGGTTCGAAGCAACACTCAAACGCGCAAAAGTCCCAGATCGGCATATGTATGTTGCTGTATGCTCTATACTCCAAATGGATCCAAATGGTGTGGCGAATTGTGACCTCCCACAACCCATGATAGGATACTATTTGCATCTATTTGCAAAGTCACCTACAAAACAGTTGCGCTGGCACAAGAAGTTTCACTCGATACGCGCCCACTTTGGGACTTGCATAGGTGGTCAAGGCGGGGCTCCAGAAAGATGGTACATTTGAAAAACACCCCGGATACGTTTCAGAATATGCAAAAAAAAGTGTACAGTAGTTATTAATAAGTCGGTTATGTCTTCAAATGGTGGTATCCCTTCAAAGTTGCCACCTTAATGTGCAAAATGATCATCAACCGTCAAGTTTTGGGTTGCATATAAGATATCAAACATATCATTTGCAATTGCCGATGATGTTTTTGTGTGTGTTCGTGTCGTTGATGTTGTTCATTGATGTTCATTGATGTTCATTGATGTTCATTGATGTTCATTGATGTTCATTGAGCAATCGCCAAAAATTGAGGCCACTGTCCATTTTCAGACAGACCCAACATGACCCAACTAGAATTTGTTGCGAATCATACCCGATTATATATATATATATATTCCCTTGTAAATATGATATAATAATGATAATGATATCCTAATAAAACATTTAAAATTGTTGTTTTTTTGGCATCCCTTTTCTGTGGTTAGTATATCCCCATGGTTGGTGTCAAAGCTCCCCGTTGCTTGGCCTCACGAAATTCCCCACGATTCTCCCGAGATTTCGGAATTCCATCTGTAATTCCGTATGCAAACCATGACACAACAATAATTACGCAACATATCAATACACAGAATGGTTTTGGGTCTGTATACATATATATATATATGTATACATATATATTTATATATATATACATATATATATATGTATATTATACCATTTACAATTATATGGATTTAGTCATTTTGATTTCCTTATTTGTCTCTTGAATGCGGTTGATGTCTATCTCTATTCTTACTTCTAGTTATATGTTCATATCCATGTGTCATAAAAACACCCCATCATACAACTCATCCAACACAACTGGACCCCAAAAACGACGGCGTCCAGGCCATGGGCTGCAGTGCGAGCTGCAAGCCCTGCAAGCCGCTCTGCGGATCTCCGGGCGATGACTACTCTGTGAATTTCGGAGGTGGCGAAGGTCTCCCCACGGAAGATGCGGATGAAGGGGAGGAACAACCAGCCGAGCTTGACCAGGAGTCTTCAGAAGGGTCTTTATGCGAAACTGTTTGATCAGAAATTCTGGATGGAAAAAAAAAATGGCCTTTTGATGTTGATGTTCTTTCACCCATGATTTTAGGAGAAATTCCATGAGTTTGAGAAGTCTCCAAGCCTTGAGAAACACCCAGTGGATGCTGCAAGCCCAACATGAGCCAGAACGATGGGTTCCTTCGATGTTGAAATGGCAGTCTAAGCCAAATTCCAAGGCAAACATGCAGTTAGTAGTTTTGATGTTTGGAGATGTTTCGGTAGTTGATGGCAGCGCACTATTGGTTACATAAGATATTATATAATATATATATATATATGTGTGTGTGTGTTTCAGGCCATAGTTGTTAGTTGAACGTAGTTGAACGCACACGAAACTTTGTTTGTTTCTTTGCCTTGCAAAGAAGAAAAGCACCGGGGGTTGCTTCTTGGATCGGATGTCTTGTGTTGACACAAACTCCGGCAAGTCCGCTGTGTCCTCACGTGAATATGCCAATTTGTATGTGTGAGATGTTCGATAGATGTTCCATAGTGCAAAATTTCGCGCGATTTTCTAAATACTCCAAGTGAAGATGCCTTTGCAAATAGAACGAAACTCTTAAGTCCTGAAACGACGTGTTGCCTTGTTTATCACACCCTCCGCATTTTCTAGATTGTGCAATCCAAACGGTCAAGATATATGAACCAAGGAAATTCAAGATAAAGATATACCATCTATATCCCAACATCACAGTTGCAACTACATCAACTACCATTTCACTAGAGTTGGGAAGCCCCTAGGTATGTGTCTCCCATTTGTAATCAAGTGGGTGATATTCTGGTTCCTAACCAATTGCCAGGTGGGATGATTTTACACATAGGACTCATTGGGGTAATTCAGTCCCCCAGTTATATAGATCCAGTTAGGGTCAAAGCTTGGGTATAACTTAACGGACTTAACGGGTAAAATGGTATAATCTTAGTTTTGTTGGTCAGGTATATCCCCATAATATTCCATATGAATCCATATGATTCCAATGATTTTCCCAGAGAATCTCCGTAAAATTGTTGGTTGTATACAGTACCCCCCCCTCATTCTTGCCGTTTCAGTACCATAGAATCACCTATTTAACGGATGATTTCCCGTGTAAAGAATTAATTCTTCCACAGTGGCTGGGCTGGAGTTGGTTATATATATATCCCATCCCATATCCCCAATGAAAATCTTGGAAAACATCCACGTTTCTTTTGCAATTTTCCATGCATGGTTCTTTCTATCTCCGTCATATTCCGTGAGATCCCAGGTCGAACTCCCAATGTTCCTCCAATCTCCATTAAAAAAACAGAAGTACCACTTTTTCTCAAGTGATTCTCCCATGTTTCAGATTTATAGGCGATGGTTTTCATTGGTTTTTCCCATCTTTTACCCCAGAAGATATATGGAAAAAATGGTTTCATATATCATTGATTGGTTTCTAATATGGGTTTATATACCATATTTCCCATATTTCCCATTGTTTTTCATGGGAAGAAATTACAAATTTGGGTTTATATACCATATTTCCCATTGTTTTCATATTTCCCATGGTTTTCATGGTTTTTCCCATGTTTTTCCCACATTTTCCCATGGAAAAAATGGCCGAAATTCATTTGGGGTGTCCCGTAGGAGCGCACCTCGCGCGCCTTCCAGCTGCGCAGCGGCACCATGATGTCGCTGCAGCGGACGAGCTCCGAAGCCGTCACCAGCGCCATGACCAGCGATGCCTTTAAGGTGAACGGCGATGCCACGGAGCCGCGGGTTTTGTGGGGAGATTTCAATGGTGATTTTATGGGAGAATGGAGGATTTTTATCAAGAAAACATGGGGTGAAATAGGAAGAAACGCTTCAAAAAGATGAGAAAATCTGCAAGTTTCACTGAGAAAATGAGGATTTCATGGCATTTGATCAAGGAAAATTAGAGGGATTTGGTTGGATTTGACCAAGAAAAATTAGAGGGTAACCATGGGTAACCAAGAAAATGAAAAGCTCATTGGTTTTTGAGGGAGAAAAATGATGATTCGCCATGAGGATGCTAATCATCAATAATTAATCAAGTAGTTGGTGCTATAACCAGCAACAATTTGATTTTTTAGGGCTGTTGTAGTTCAGACAATACCCCAAGTTGAGTACTCTATGTTCCTTCAATCTTTATGCATAGATATATATATATATAATTATAGATATAATTATATGTAATCTACAGTAATCTGATCTAAGGTGTTGTTTTGATCTTACTCTTAATCTCAATCTTAATTTCGTCCTATCTAATCCAATCCAATCTATCAGGTGTGATATCCTTGTTAATTTTAATGGAAAATGAACACCAGCCAGCCAAAGAAATTTGGGTGAGGCTTTGGGATGATTTTCGCGAAAAAAGAAGTTAGAGGGTTGCACCACGGGTTCAATGCTAAATGGATCTAGTTGGTCTTGGACGATTTTCTGAAGCAAAATTGTTGGGTTTAGCCACGATTAAGGATAGAGATAGTACTATAGTTACAAATGAGAACAATATTACGGCCTGATTCAATGGGAATTTCAGGATCCTAAAATGGAGGTACCTACCATATATAAGGCCTATATAAGGGCTATGTAAGGGGATATCCCCCAAAAATATGGCCTTATATGGTACTAACGTACCTCCATTTTAGGATCCTGGAGATCTCCCATTGACGGCTTCAACCCCTTTTCTTGGTGTCCCATCCCAATATGGGGATTGAACCCCCGGCATGCAAAAAGGGCAAGAAATTGGGACTTCCACCGGCACAAAGGGGTGGTGGAAGTTATTCACCACCAAAAGAAGAATGGAACATACTATGAGAACTAAAATAAAACTGGTTCAATCTAGTTCGTGCTTTCACGTGCATCGTTGAATGCTCAGGGCTCGTGACGGTGGGATGTTTCGGATATAGTCCATCCTTCCTACCAAAGTAATTGCCAGTATGACTTGGTCTTGAGATCTAGTCTGGTTTTCCCCACAAGTTTCACGTTTGCCTCATGCGGTTTGCACTTAATTACCGTTTGGTAATGATACATGGCAGAAAACCTCACATTTACCCTCTGGTAATTTAACGTAGCTATTGAAAATGGCCATTTATAGTGGATTTTCCCATTAAAAACGGTGATTTTCAATAGCTATGTTAAATTACCAGAGGGTAGATACATTTAGTGTGAGGAGTTTCCCATTTAAATGCCCAATGGGTGATTTCCCAGTGAAACAATTGGGGCCGGCGCGAGGAAATCATCAAGCACTTCTACCAGGAAGCAGTGGAGAGTACCAGCTTGATGCAGCTGGGCTGGTTACATTCCCAGTTGATGGGATAAACATGGGAAATTGTTGGAAAATCTCACTTGTAAAAATGCATTGTTCTTCTCCAATACTGAGCTAAACTATGCTAAACTTCTATCACACAAATCCCTGTGTGTGTGCATGTGTGCGTGGTATGCGCCTGGAAAAAAAACATAGAACGACTGCTCTGTGCTGTTCAAGTCCCGACAGCGGATGATTCCAAGTTGATCGATGTTTTTGGGGGATGAGTTGGAGCCACTCACCGGCAGATTTCGCAGGCCATGCGAGGGAAGTTGTTTCATAGCATAGGCCCATAGGCCATGAGATTTTCATTTGCAGCTCTGCAAATGTGAGGCATGTGGAAGCCTTCGTTGCGACCTTAGCTTGGCCCTCCAGTTGTTGACCTTGCAGTGGTCATATCCCCATGAGCTGGAAAAACCATCCGTTTTGCGAAATGTCATCACCGTGTTCCTTCCTAGGTCCTAAGTCTCAATCTTATTCACCCAACCATCATCCAACATCCAATCATCATAGAACCAACCAGCATCCATCATCTATCACCAGGTTGATTCTAAGGTTGATGCGAATTTTCCTAAGGATCCCTTAAGGGCTCCCATTCTCCACATCAAAGCTTCGGGCGCCCCCAGGATCTGCGCTTGGAACATCTCCAGGCGATGGCACAACGCTTGGGCTTCAGCGATCTCAAAGAGGGCGAGCTGAAGCGGCTCTATGCCGCGCGGCAGTCATGGTGGGGCTGCGAAATGAGAGCTTTCCCTGTGTGAAAAATAGGACATTCTGTGAAAAATTGGGGAGTAACATGAAATAATTCATGTAACTAACCTTCGAAATAGATCGAAATAGGATATTTTGGAGATAGAATCGGGATGTTTTGAGATACAATGGAGATAGAGTAGGGATATTGCAAGATATAATTGGATATATTTGGGGGTAGGGATATTGTTGGATATGATTGGGTGTATTCGGTAGAGTGTGGGACATACTTTGAAATATGGGAGATGTGATGGGATTTTTCGGCATCCGCCGATACATGGATTTTTGGCTGTGTCCGGTTAAACCGGATCTTCTCCGGACGACCATATTCTTGGAGGAAAAATGATGAAAAAAAAAAAACAGTTTATTTTGGGTGCCATACATGGAGTTCTTTGGTTCCTTGTGATCTTTGTACATCATATGTTTCATGTATTTCATGTTCTTCAACCGCATAGCCCAGAGGTTTTTTTTAACCTGGTTTGTTGGAAAATCGGCCGCTGCTTGGAGCTTCATGGAGAAGTAGCCTCTGGTGTCATGAAGCATGGCTAGCTGGGAAATCCTCGTAGGAAATTGTGGTTTCAATATGTTTTAATTGGAAAGTCATGGAACCAACTAAGGGATTTTCCATAGCAGCTGTATGTTAGAATACCAGAGGGTAGTCCAAAATCCTCGTTTCCTTTCTATGAGTTTGATGAATGTGACAGTGGATTGCCAATTTGGGCTGGGCCTTTATTGAGTGCCATTTTCTGAGGAATCGATTGATGCCAACGCCGATGGGAACGTTACATTTTGGGAGTTTGCCCGGGCAGTAGCCGATGGTCCTGTAGCACATACGCTTCAGAATTTTGTGACCAGATTTCGTGGCTTGGTGACGTTTCCTTTGCCCAAAGGAGATGGCTGACAGTGTTATAGGATGTTATAGGTACCATCCAGTTGTGGCAATTGAAAATACCCTTCTTATGGGAAAATCATTTGTAGATGGGAAACTGACCATTGCCATATTTGATTACCCGTGGGTACTCTCAGGGATAACATGGCAATGACATTTGTTCACGATTTTCTTGTGGTGACTCTCCGGTGCCATGTTGCAATACAAGGGAGTATGCAAACTCACAGACTCAACAGCACGGTTCTTGCTGCAGTTCTGCCACGTTCTGCCTTTGCCTACATAGGTTGTGGCTTGGATTGCGGCTTTGTCACCAAGCCCAGCTACGATTATTCGAAGCCCACTTTCGAGAATTACCGGGAGGACTCTTTTTGGCAAGGCTATGATGTGACATATATAAATACACACACGGGTGCATATGTGTGAGTGCGTGGCATATCATATCAAGATGTGTGCCGTTTCCATCGCAATGTTTTGCGGGTGGCATCCACTCGATCGCTGTTTTTTGGGGGGAACCCAAAGATCCCATCTTTGACTGTAGTTTATCAATGTTGATCACCATGTTCTTCGCTAAAACTGCGATAAGTTGGGAGCATCCCCTAGTTTGCTTTCTGAAGCTGTCAGTCGGCTTCAGGACACCCTGAAGTTTCACGGCAGTTTCCGCAAGATTCGCGAGCTCCGTGATTACGGCTACCATGTAAACTACACCAAAGAGCGGCAACTATGGCAAGACCAGGTGGGAATAGTTGATATTTGATAGATTTTGATAGTTGATAAGTGTTCCCATAGGATCCATGGTGCTGCTATATATGGTAACATGGATCCCATCAATATACCCCCTTTATGTTCGCATATATACCAGCACCATGGATCCGTCATGGGGTTGATAAGCTAAATATTTGATAGTTGATATAGTTGATACTCAGCAGCCCGAGAAATTAGACGTTGATAGTGGAGAATCTGAAGATGCATCCCCAAGGATCGTGGTTTCGGGGCTGCGTGGAGGGGGAGCAGTTACATAGAGCTGCAGTCTGACTGCTTATTCCCGATCTGTGGGCCAGCATGGCTAGTAGGTACATTACAAGGGCATATTTATTATATTTATATATTTATACATTTTATACACTATACATGTGCACATACATAGAGATATAAGGTATACTGATATACCCATAGGCATATATATATAATATTATATATATATGGTATGTATATATGGTATATATATATATATGTATATTTGTGTATGTTAGGTACGTAGATATGTAGATAGATACTTATATATATATATATACGTTTCTATTTATATTGAGATTTTCATTTGTGTATATATATATATGAAGATGATATGTATATATATATGTGTGTGTGTGTGATGGATATACATATATATATATATGTATATACAGTATATTAAATATACATATATATATATACATATGTATATATATATGGGTAAATTATAACGACCTCACTGCGACCTCACTGGAATCATGGTTAATAAGAGACATCATCCCCAAGATAGCCTTATTTCATGTTAATGAATTATTATAATTTACCATAATTTACCCAGATATTATAGATATGCACACATATATATATATATATATTCATTTTTGAGATGCAGATGGATTTGGATAAATGCATATAGATATGGGTATAGATATAGACATAGATACATACATAGATAGAGATAGAGATATAGATAGATGTCGATGATAGATATAGATAGATATAGATAAATATAGATAGATATCGATGATAGATATAGTTATATAGATTTGGATAGGTATGGGTAGATATGGATAGATATGGGTAGATATGGGTAGGTATGTCTAGATTGGATAGATACCTAAGATATATATATATATAATGATTTTTTAGATATTTACAGATAGAGCTAGATATACATTTATATATCGATAGACAGATATATGGTTATTTACATATACATATGCATGTGCATATGCATATGCAAACATAAACATTACATTATACATACACATGTATATACCTGCAATTATATATATATATATATACATGCACATGTTTGTTTGTGAGTGTGCGTGTGGTGATCAACTTTGTCAGTGCACATGCTTACGCACATGCATACACATATAAGTAAATAGATATTATACATATATATATATATATATAGAATGTGTTCTAGCGAATAATCTGTGAGGTAAAACTTCCGATTGTCTTGCCGAGATCAACACGTTTGTGTGTGTGTGTGTCAAATCCGCATTTCTTGTTGATTGCATCCCCATTTTGCGAGTTTGGATTCCTTCGTTTTTGTGTGTGTTTCTGGGAGGTAAACCGAATTGTTGTATATGTTTGTTTTACGTTAGTACCGGTGTTTGTGAGTGAAACCTCTAGTGTTGATGTAGCCATGTTTGCGAGTCAAAATGAGTCACACCTGTTTTCTCCGCAACTCTTAAGGTCCCCCAGTAGCCAGTCGCTACCCCAGTTTCCACACCTGGGATCGGTCCAGGCCATCAAGAGTGTCATTTCACGGGTGGTGGAGCAACCTGCCCCTTGGCTGGTCTACACCTGTGGCCCCATGGGCGTTGGCAAGGCCGGAGGATGTGGAAACGGGGGTCACCGGGGTCACCATAAAACAATGGTAGCATCTCATGGGAATATTTCATGGGGATATAACCAACGTAACGTTAGGAATGAAAAGAAGTTATATCCCAATGTATGGCAATCTCAAGGGGGGAGACTATGTCCTAAACAGCTTGAATTTTGGAGGACGCCCTGTTCTGGGACAAACCTAAGTGCTGCGTTTGCTTTCCATCCCCAAGCGAATTAAGGAAATCATCACTTAGTAGGAGATGACCTACCAACTCAACAACCCCAAACCACTAATTCCCCTTGGTTTTTCTGGTTTTGTGCCAGGGCTACACCTTGTCATGGATGTCCCAGCATGGTTTTTTCCCCCTGGAAAATATCGTGCACATCGACCCGGACGCCTTCAAGATGATGATGCCCGAATGGCCCGACTACGTGGCCCGAGACCGCGACTCCGCGGGGACCATGTGCCACATGGAGTCCAGTTTCATGGTGGAGGCCGGCGCAAAGGGAATGCTGGTTTTTTGGAAGGAACTTGGAGAAAGGTGTATAGCAACCCCCCAAAAAATAAGAGATAGAAAAGTGAATTGGCATCTGTTGCTACTTATATCGAAAGAGCACTTGAGATGAGCGGGTGCTATTGTTTTGGATCGTCAGGAAGTTCATCTATGTTTCCAGACGCCAAAGTGGTTGGGTCCAGTTGGGGGTCCAGTTGGTTTTGCCTGGATTTGTACAAAATATGGAAACAAGAACATACAGTGGATGGAAAAAAATCCTGAAATTATAAGACAAAAGATATGTTGGAAAAACCAAAGGGTTTGATTTCCAATGACTGTGCCAAAAAAAACATGATAACTGTTGTTTGGATCCCTTTCCCCTTGATTTGGGATGATTTTGGTAGTATGGGGAAGATATGTTCCCATTCAATTTTTACTTGGCTCATCAGGGAAAGGAAGGCTGCAGCAAAGGGCCCCGGTGGACACCAAGAGGATGGCTATAATCCCAGAACCAGCCAAAGTGGAAGTTTTTTACCCCAGTGGCAGAAATTTATGCCACTTTCCCAAAGTGGCATGTTTTCTGAAAGTTGCCTATAATTATAGGCTAAAGGGAAAACAAAAATGTGGACTACCTGAGATTGGCCATGATATACTTTCCAAAACCCAATGACTTGGGGCCATGCAATTGCTTCAAGAACTTGGTGATATGCTGAAAACAAGAACATCAGTTCTCACCTGAATACTGTTGTGGGGCTGGTGTTTTAATATCCAGACCGCAAGTTTGTACCATCCACATGGGGATTTTGATCGACCGCATGTTTACAAACAGCTCGGGATACTAATGAATAGCTATTGGACCTCCAGAGCAAGATTTACAATTCCCGTGGGGGATGAACCAGCATCACTTTCAGATGTTGTGGCAGATCACCCCAGTGGTTTGGTCACAGTTTGTTTCATTTCATTGGAAACGTTCCAGCCCAGACTCAACTAGCCTCCTCCCTTTGGTGAATAGCCATGGAACAGTTGATATGTTAAGATGTTCATCTCATATTTATCTCATCTACCCAATCCTCTCAGATGTTTCCTTACATACCTTGGTTATCCTTGGATTATCTCTCCCAACCTGAGATCCTGGAGATCACAGCATTTTCGATGTTGGGATGACGATTCCATTTGACCTTCCAATCGTGCATTTTTTCCTGGAAAATACAGTAGCCACTGATGCAACTAACAGGTTGACCCTGAGAATTGTCAATCTTGAGCTACTATGAGAATAGCATCTATAAGTTGGGATGCACCCCCAAGTAGTTCTCCAACCCCTCCTCCCAATGGCAGGAACAGCCCCTTCCCTTCTCAGGTAGCCCAGGCAGCAGCCATGGAGAAGCGACAGAATATTTGGGTCGATGGTTCATTGCGTGACCAGTCGACATCGGTGATGGGACTGGATCCATCTTAGGAAAACTCGAACCCGTTCCTTCATTAAGGTTTGTGGTAATGGGATTGGTTGGGGGAAATATATGAAAATATGGGGATCGCCAACTTGATATATCATGATATATGCATGCTTAAAATGAATAGGAACAGATTTAAACCATCCAAGTCCTAGGATGTCCTAGCTTTGCGGTTGAACATGGGTCCAGCCACTGAGTAACATCATGTAACATCCCCTCAACCAACAACTCGACCCTGCCCAGCTGGGGTCTGTGTCAGTTTGGGGGATGCGTAATCCTGATAAATCCACCAAGAAATATCTATTGGTCATGCTATACCCGCCATTCATGTAGATATGCTGCCGTTTTACTCCAGTTGTTGGAGTATTAACTCGTCCAGCATTGGTGAGCTACCGGGGCTTGATCCACCGAAAAATTCCCCAAGTGATTCGCGGCATCCCAGGTGATGCTGCCTTCTATGAGCAAGTCTTTCGGCGGATCCGTCAAACGCATCCACACTACCGTTCCTGGGCCTGGAGTTCTAGCAGAAGCTGGCTATACCTGGCCAAATAAGAACGGTTGAGAGGGTTCAGTGTGGAATTTGTCTTGGAAATGGCTAGATGAAGCCATCAAACACTCATGGTTGCCATGTTTGTATCTTCGAACTTCCATGACATCCCTAAATATCCCGAAAATATCACATAATATTAGATTGAACGCGCAATGGCGGAAATTTTCACATCAGCCACTCAGCCACTCTGGCAGAGTGGCTGACGCAGCCACTCAGCCACTCAGTCACTCAGAGTGGCTGAGTGGCTGAGTGGCTGCTCCAGCCACTCTGGCAGAGTGACTGAGTGGCTGAGTGGCTGCTCCAGTCACTCTGGCAGAGTGACTGAGTGGCTGAGTGGCTGCTCCAGCCACTCTGGCAGAGTGGCTGAGTGGCTGAGTGGCTCCTCCAGCCACTCCGGCAGAGTGGCTGAGTGGCTGAGTGGCTGAGTGGCTGCTCCAGCCACTCTGGCAGAGTGGCTGAGTGGCTGCATCAGCCACTCTGGCACAGCGGCTGAGTGGCTGAGTGGCTGCGGCAGAGTCATCAATCAATGAAATGGACGGATAAAGTTTTAAACATTTCAATATCCAAGCAAGAGTATATATATATATGACATTGACAGCAACTTGATTTACAAACATAACCCTGTAAACTTCAACTGCCATAGCTACATAACTTCAACGGATTGATTAAGAACAGCCACATATACACTTTGAACCATAACCTGAAATCACTTAAAAAGAAAGAGAGTGGTGATGAACTCTACAAGTTCAGGATTGGAAACAACTATTACAACGACTATTTGGTGAGCAAAGAATGGCTATGGTGTGCTGTAACCAGAGCAACCGATTTCAATAATGTATATTTTTCAAAAATGATACAGCCGGCGAAGATATGTTTAAGAATTTGGTAGTTAACTATTTTAAAAACAAGGTTGAAGGTCACAAAGGACAAGACAGAAAAGGAGGAAGAGAAATAGTTGATGAATACATTGATGAACATGTTTGAAGATGTTCAAGGGTTGTTGTGCAAAGTGTGGAGTTAAATTTAATCTTGATACCAGAGGGCAAATTATCAAGTAACTTTACGGCGCAGAGAGGTGATAATGGACTGTGCCATTCTATTGACAACAGCGAGGCTTATTGTTGCCACTGCAATTCTTCTTCACATTAGATTTTTTCAAAATAATAAACTTAATAAAATATTGGTATGAGTAAGCAAGAAATCATAGGAAACATATATTCTTATAAAGCAGGGTTTGGTTCCAAAAACACTACTTTGAAGGATGCAAGAGAGAAAGACAAATCTATTACTATGAAAGATGTTGAAGATTTTTTCGAAAAGAGTGTAGAGATAAAAATGAACCCGAGAGGCTATAACAGCTTTGTTGTTCCACATAACAATCATAGATACCAAGTTGATATATTCTTTATTTCCAAAAAAGATTTAAAGGTAAAACAAAGATACAGAGCTGGATTAGTCTGTATTGATTGTTTGAGTAAGTATGCTGTCGTAGTCCCAGTAAGAAGGAAAGAGACAGGCAGTGTTATTCAAGGAACAAAGAAAGCGATAGAGAAGATGGCAAAGAAACCTGAAATCATATACACCGACGACGAGAAAGCTATAGCAAGTGGTGAATTCCAAGCATATGTAGAAAGCGAAGACCGAATTGTATAGGACAAGAGGCCATCCTGCTTTTGCCGAGCGTTTTACAAACAACTTTTAAAGACAAATTATGCAAAAGAGTTGAGAACGATGAAAAGAATAAAAAAGCGAATATACAATGGATAGACTACATAGATGAAATTGTGTTAACTTACAATAATAAAGATGTGCATTCCGCTACTGGTCAAACACCGTATAAAGCCAGAGATACAGACAATGAATTCAAGTCAAGATTAAACATTGCAATGAAAGCAAAGAAACAGAGGCTCTATCCTGAACTATTTGTGGGAGACAAAGTAAAAATCAAAAGGAAGAAAGCAACAACGGAGAAGGAGAGAACCTCACACTTTTTGAAAGGTGAGTATACCGTAGAGTCCATTGATGAAAAATTGAATCAAACATATTATACATTAGAAGGATACAATAGACCACTATTGAGGCATGAATTGCTGAACATATAAATTACCATTTATAGGAAATCTACTTAAAGGAATATTATATATATATATTATCTATATATATATATATTAGCGAAATGTCATTCAGTGATACAAGTAGTGAACGTGAAATCAATCAAGAAGAATACATCAAACAAAAAATCTTAAGCTGTAAATGTAGTGAATATGCAACAATAAAATGAATTATAAAAAATAATTTTACCGATGGTATTGGTAATAAAATTTGTGAATATGTAGCCTGTAAAAGTTGCTCAAATATAATGAGTCATTTTGATTCAATTGAAATTGATATTAACCCTTGTGACGATGATGATATTGATGAACAAATTCAAATTTACGTTTATAATACTTTAGTGAATGAAATTCCAGATGATAAAATGAATTTAGTATTAAATGAAAAAGAGATAAGACATTATCAAGATTGTGGACAAGGATTGAAAAATGTTGTAACAATTCATATTTTACAGTTGCATTCTGCATGTTAGAAATGAATATTAATGATGCTGATTGTATGGATGATAACTTTAATCATGAAACCTTTATAGATTGCTTAAGAAAAATATTGTTGCATATCAAAGACAATGAACAGTTTATTGGAAATACAATTATTGACGAGAATAAGTTTGACAAAGTGTATGAAAGAATACAACAAGGAATTTATATTTGAATCCCATAAATTTTCATATCAGATAATATGTGTTTTTTTTTAATGGCATAAGGAAATACACTTAAAATTGAAAGGATAATACCTTATAATAATAGTATGGAGAGTAGAAAGTGCACAAAGTGTAAGAAAAACAAAAAGGGTGACGAGTTCAATGGAATGAATAGAATGTGTATTGAATGCTTGGACAAACAAAAGGAGAGTAACAAAGTATATAATCAAAAGGAAGTATTCTGCGACATTTGCCAACGGAATGTGAAACAATGCAGGTTGTCCAAACATGTCAAAACCGACAGGCATTCCAGCAAGGAAAAACTCAAAAAGGAAGAAGAGAAAAAACAAACATATATGGAGGAATACTTAAAAGATGATGAAGCCAGAATTGCAAAATTGAAACAAATCTGGAAAACCATTACACCAAAAAACTTCAAAAGACTTTAACCCCATATTTTTTCATATCATAATATATGAAAATTTATGATTCGAACATAGGAATGTTAGACGTGGATGATTTAGATTTATGATATCATTTTATAATAATATATTATGATAAAATATTATGATGAAACTTTATGATGTGAATTTATGTGATGATGGATGATGATGATGATGAAATGATGTGGGATGATGATGTATGAAATTATGTGGTCTTATTTTGTGTTGATACTGTGATGAAATGATATGAACTGTTGTGAAAATGAACTGTGGTAAATGATGAAATGATGGAGGTGGATGATATGACCTTAGGTGTGTTTGTGTCTAGCTATATCTACATATATATATATACATATATATATATACATATTTTTCTTTTATAACATACATATATGAAAACATTGGAACTATAACCAAATGTCTCATTCCTTTCGCCATGATGATCCGCAGGGACCCACAGAGCGAACCCCTTTAACACAAATGATTAATGACTTCTTTCTCACAACCCTTTAACACAGATGTTTGCCTGTTTGCCTAAGATTCCATTCAACCCATAAGAATATATGCCCCAGTGCCTGGATGAATAAAGGAAGGGGCCCTAAATTAGCATAAAACCTCACTTGAGATACTACCCAGACCTAAGAAAAATTAGGTCTGGGTAATATTGCTTACACTCCAATGGCTCTCCAGCAACTCAGCCAGTCAGCCGCTCAGAGTGGCTGAGTGGCTGAGTGGCTGCTCCAGCCAATCTGCCGCAGACACTCAGCCACTCAGCCACTCTGCCAGAGTGGCTAGACCAGCCACTCAGCCACTCTGCCAGAGAGGCTGGACCAGCCACTCAGCCGCTCAGAGTGGCTGAGTGGCTGAGTGGCTGCGTCAGCTGCTCTGCCAGAGTGGCCGAGTGGCTGAGTGGCTGCTCCAGCCAATCTGCCGGAGACACTCAGCCACTCAGCCACTCTGCCAGAGTGGCTAGACCAGCCACTCAGCCACTCTGCCAGAGAGGCTGGTACAGCCACTCAGCCACTCAGCCGCTCAGAGTGGCTGAGTGGCTGAGTGGCTGCGTCAGCCGCTCTGCCAGAGTGGCTGAGTGGCTGAGTGGCTGGTCCAGCCTCTCTGGCAGAGTGGCTGAGTGGCTGAGTGGCTGCTTCGATTTCGCGAGCCGTGTTGCACATCCACTCTAATATACATAATCCCAGTCTCAAAAATCAGTCCATAGAAAACAATAGAAAAACCATTGAAAAAACCGGAAACCATATGTGTTCCATCAGAACCCCTTGGGCGCCCAAGGCATCTCCATTTTTTACATCAGCGCCTCGGAGCACGCCATCCGCCAGCGCATCAAAGTCCGCGCAGAGCAGACCGGCCGCGACGTGCCGGAGCACCTCATTGTGGCATCGTTGCAGGCCGGAACGAAGATCCAGCAGGACGGAAAGGTCAAGGTCACAATTGGCCAATAGAAATGGGACCAACTGATTTGGGACTGAAGCAAAAACAGGATCAACTGGGTTAGTTCCAGTGTTTGGCTGGTTAAAGTTATGATACATACATGTCATTCATGTTTGATCATCGCTTGAATTTGCCTACAAATAAATCGGGGTAGACATCCCCGATTTGGAGACAAAGCGTTTCAAATGTAAATGTAGTTGAACCCCTGTTTGTTGTTTCTACCATCATATATATTGTCGATTGAGTCCACCATCATTACGACTGTTACTGTAGTTGGTCCCAAGTTGCAGGGGCTCCGGAGGCTCCGGAGTTGTGGATGTTGATGAAATGTTCGAAGCACCAAGGAAGTTGTTTGGGGTCATATCATATCATATCATATCGTATCATATATCATACAACATATGTCAGATATGTCATATATCATATATCATATATCATATGTATTCATATGTCGTATACCCCTCTAGTGGGTCATATACGGGGAAATTTGCCCTCAGGCAGCCAAACAAGAAATCACCATGTTTGACAGGAAAACCATATAGAAACATATGGAAACGGTGGGAAAATCAAATTGCCAGATTAGATTACCAAAAGTTACCAGCAAAGATTGCGGGTTCTTCTTGTCATGCCAGATTCTTTTCCCAGCGAGAAATTGGGAAATTGAACCAACAAATTTAGCATTTATAATGATATTTACCGACCGTAAAACTGGTATAATAGATATATCTGTAGCTGGCTGCATTATTCCCAAGCCTAAAAATGCGATGATGATCCCACTTGACTTTGATGCGGGATGAGTGACCCAACCACCCAGCCCCAGGAAGCTGAGTCGTGTTCCATGACTTCCACGAAGAAGATGAACTTTAGGATTCCAGTTTTCATGATTTCCAGGTTCTGAGACTATGGCTTGCTGGATCCTGTCCAACTGATTTAGTGATGCACCAACAGGGAAACCAGGTGGACCCCTTAACACAAGGTGTGTTTGCGCCACCCCACCTGCAGGCAATGGACAAGTCCCTGAACACACTGACTCCTTTGTGTGACTTTGTGGCCCGCATCAACAACGAAGGTCACGAACCCACTCTGGTGGCTTTCGAGACGGTAGACACCAAAGGCAATTGGAGAGTGATCAGCGACAGGTTTGCCAGGAGGGGTGGTTGAAAGGTGGAGCACAAAATGGCCAAACGATTTCAAACCTGACACCTTTCAATGATTTTCAATGGTTCATTGGCTTCTCAATGGGTAGTTGGTGAGGTCATCACTTCATTTTTCTTTTTTTATATCCTTTCATCAATCGGCGCCTGCACCTGCCTCCTTGGTGAGTGCTTTCCAGTCTCCACTGGGAGGATCATCCCAGTTCAACCTTGGCTGATCACCAGGTCACCAAATATGGGTCTCAAAGTAGCGGTTCAACCAGCGCTCCACGTAGGACCTACTATGATCCGAGCGCATTTCCACAGTCCAAGCCAACACAGCGGCTGAGTTTGGTCGATGGTAAGTTCACCAGCCTCATCACTGACAGCAAACTGGACAAGGGAGCCTTTCAGCTGACGGTCTCCCTGGATTCCTTGGCAGAGGCCAAAGGTGTTGCTGAGATTCCCGACCTGACTCGGTTTTGTTTCTTTTTTTTTCGGCTGTGGTTTGTTCCGTGGTTTTTCCAAGCTGGCGTACCTACCATTTGGGGAATCCAAAGGGGATGCGCGTGTTTTGTTATGTTTTTGTTTTCTTTCTCCCTTTTGAAGCAGATCTACAAGGATATTTGGGTCGAGTATTCTGCTGACGGCCTCCCAGCGGTTTGATTTGCCATGGCACCCCCATGCCAAACTGCCCATCCCCAAGCATGCCACCAGCGCGGCCTGGATCTACCCATCCCGCAGCATAGCGGAAAGTTTTACTCAGCACCTGCAGAAATGTGAGAGGTTGCAGGATGACCATCTGAAAATCCTGGGGCATTTGAAGCTAGCTGGCGGTTTCAGAAAGATTGAGGGCATGTTTTTTTTCCTCCTCCTAATTTCCATTCAATTCCCGAGATCTCACTTGAGGAATGTGTTTGTGATTTGGGGAATTTGCATGAATTTGCCTGAGATGGGTCGAACCTATCAACCAGGATGCTTTATGGCGGCTTTGCTTTTTACGGTGACGGCATCTGTGCGATTCTGGCAGTGACCACCCGGGAGAGCAAACATCGCATTCAATTTGGCAAGCCGATCACTCTGAAGCTCACCAGCATCGAGGCTTCGCGCTTCCAAGAAATTGTGAGTCCATACTTCCTGAAACAGGGAGCTACGAAATTTTGCTGGCTAAGTCCTGGGGAAGAAGTCAGCGGCTTGGAAAACCATTGCAACGATGGTGCCTTTGCGTATCTCATGGAGGATGAAAGCAGCCTTCTCGCCTTTCCAGTGGTGTAGCTGCCTTCCCTGGCACGTCGTGCCGGGAGGCAGCGTATTAATGTTCATAGCAAGACATAGTTGTCGATATTTTTCTCATCTGAAAGGATGAGCGGTGCTGCCGAAGGCAAGCACTCTATGACCCAACTGGTAGCTGCCCAACCTATCGAGGCAAACAGCTGGGGCTCCCACAGGTGTTTGTGCACCTGTTCGGCATCGGGGTCTTTCACTCAAGTGCGTTCCAAAGTGGGAAATATCATGAAATATCCTAGACAGTACAGTACACCAACATCATTTGGCTTCGAAACCCATAGTGGGGGATCATCATGGGAATCAGTCTATTGATCGGGTATACCCATTAATTCGCTCAACCCATTCGTGATGGTGGGATGGCCATACCCCATTCATCCATATGCATCCCATCTTTAATCCCATTCTTGGTGATTATTCCGTATTAAATCATATTAATCCCCATTATCCCATGTTAAAAATCCCGCCATATCCGTAGTTTTGATGGTTCGACCCTCTTGGCCCTGAGGCCGGCACCGAAATGGATTTTGCAACGTGTTTAGGGGCCCAGGGCAAGTGTTTGGGGATGTTTGGAGTATTTTGTGTGGACCTCCAGGAACTAGAAATATCCAGAAATGATGATGCAAAAAGATGAGTTAATGGTGGATCAATGTAAATCATTGGAAGTGGCTCCGAATCAACACAATCAATTTCATGGCTTGAAAAACCAGATCTCTGGTGAGAATCAGGCCCCTCTATCACTGAGGTTTTTGGATACTATCCACTGCACTTGTTGGTTCTCCTGATTTTCTCGTCCAGCTCTTGGCGGTGCGATTTCGCCGCGATTTTGGTGGCCCCTGGGGATCTGGGCAGCCTGCGGGCCTGCGTCGCTTCGAGGCCCATGTTCTTGTTCTCAGACGTGACCTTCAGTGGTTGGCCTACTGCAATTTGGCAGACCCTGCGCTGTGTTCGTCGCCGTTCGTGTTTTTTCATGTTTTTTGGGGTGGAACAGGCTAAGAGATGCCTGGAGATGTTTGTTCTATTGGAAATGTTGAGGACTGGTTCGCTCAATTTCCGTGGGATATCAATAGCTATGTCAGCAATGTGAATATGTACACGTATCATATATTTTATACATATATATATACACTGCATATATATACATACATACATACATGGATGCATTGAATGTACACGTGTGTGTGTGTAATTGATTGTGTGTAGATCATTCATCCATTGACTGTATTTTATCTTGATTGATTGATTTGTTTGTCGTTTTGTGTGCGTGTGTCTTTATATCTGTGCTCATTCAGGCATAGATGTTTCATCTGCACACAAGTTTATATAGATATTCACAAAGTATACATTGTTTTTAAATGTTGTTCTACGTATATTGTTGATGGAATTCGTGTGGTTTCCAAGGCCAGATGCGAAGCGGTCATAAAACTCAGCTCCACCATGCCAGGCATGGCTTCTTGTCGGCCGGCATGCTGCAAGCATGGTTCCCCATGCACGCAGAGGCGGCTGCCATGGGGTTTTCCACTGCTCCAAAAAGATGTGGAAAATGGTGGAAAACCCATTGGGAAGCCCGGTCGGAAAATGATCGGTGGTGGTTTTCCACATCCAACTGTTAGTTTATGGGATGGTTTTTATGTGTATTTATTCGTTTTCAAACATGCTTGGGCTGATTCGTTGAGATGACCAACATATTTTTGGAATTTGTCATGTTAAATCGGCGTTAAAACCACCAACCAGTTCTGTTGTGTTTGGCTCTTGCCAGTCATATTTCCTTCCACCAGCTCCATCCTGTCACTTGGAAGGTTTGGAATGCTCCAACCTGGTTTCTATCAGCCCTCACCTTTGCCATGGTCCTGCGCTCAATCATGGCCATGTTCGTTGGTTAAAGCCCAAAAAAGGTCAGTATCACATTGTCCAACTTGTGTTGTCCATTTCAACTACATAAATTTAAGACTCTTTTGGATATTTTGGGATACGTTTGCTCGTTGGAAGCCCTTTTCAACTAGATAGTTCTGATTTGTTTGGATATCATTGGATATGCTTGCTGGTTATAGTTTATTTGTTACTTAGCAACCTTCATCTGTCTCTGCAACCACACTTGCCCCATGCAACTCCATCAAAAGCAAGATCATATGTATATATATATTATAAGATTAAAATGGTGCTGTGCGAGGGATGACCCCCGATCATTTGACACGGCAATGAAAAATCCCAATGTTCAACTGGAACCTATGGGATTAGAATCTGTAAATGAGTGTTTTTTCATTACTAGGTCAGATTTTCCTGGTGGAGTTTTTTTGAAAATGGTCATTGTCACAGACAATATTTGAGTTGCAATGACATCTCATAAAGACTGTCGGGATATCAGATAGACTTAAGAATAAACCCGTTCGCCTAATACGAAATACCTCCTCCTGGTAATAGCTGGCAATCCTAGTTTAGTATTGGACATTGTCATTTTGGGTCCCCCAATGCCCAAAATGGTGGTATGTAATATTTCATTGGCTGTGTTTTCCTGACAATGCAGGAACCATTAATACAATCTCATCAACTTGATAGCTACAGTTATTACAGTTATCCCATTACTTGAATTAGATATTGGTTAACCCACCCATGGTTAAACCCATCTTCAACCGCCAAACAAACCCCCCATGGGTCATGGCTAAAATCCCAGAATTCGATGAGGCCGCGCTGCCCTTCGCCCTGCCAGTCCTGGCGAAGCAGAGCAAAGCGCAGCTGCGCCGTGCGGAGCCGAGACTGGAGGATTCCAATTGTTCACTTGCCATGAAGGATGATAAAATATGGTTATATCAGTTATATCTACATATATAATTATATATGATACTTTATAGTTCTGCATGTTATAGAGTTATACACTTAATGTTGCACATATATATATATACATATTCTACAAATGCATGTGTATATATATATGTATATATATACATAACAAATAAATATATAGAGAGATAATCAAATAAGTAGATAAATGAATATATAAATGAAAAACAACAAATTAATAAATAAACGCACGTATGCACATTGCACATATATATATATGCACAAACAAGCAAGCTGCTTGCAGGGTATCTAAGTTTGGTAATGTGACGGCTATGGGTCATGTCTTGAAGATTAGACCCTGTGCGTCAAAAACCTTTGCTGGAAAACTACAAATGATGAGACCCAATGAATTCCTATGGAAACTGCTAGGGACATGGGTAGGGATCACCCATGGCTTTTTTTGCCCCATCATTTGTGCTAAGAAATCTCCAAGTCCCAAGCAGATGCGCCAGAGAAGTGTGCCCTGCACCGTCTCCAAGGAACCGCTTTGGTCCTTTTCCTCGTGGGTTTGTTGCCGAAGCCAGATCTCTCAGACTACTCAGACTGGCAGATCTCAATTGAGGTCTCCTGGGTTGGTGCCCCCCTTAGTGAGTTTGCCACTGAAAAAAATGTGGCAGTGTGTCAAAACCTTGTACCCCTGGTGAACCCCAAAATAGCTGGTAAATGGATGTTCATCACCCTAAAAATGGTATTAATAGGTATTGATCCATACCCATGTGGAAAATGGTGGATTTCCATCAAGCTATGTGGTTCCATTTCCTGAACCGAGAAGTGGTGCAGAAAAAAGTGACGGACGCCCCAGTCAATTGGAAATCGGTTGCATCACCCGAATCACTGCTAAGTTGGACACAGCAGTTTGTTGGGAGAATCATCCCTACAAATGGGATGATGCCTCGTGTCATCCTTTTTTTTGTTGCAACCCCAATGGCTCCGCCACTACCCGGAAGAGTGTTTTCCTCCAGGGATTGGGTTGCCAACACCACCACCCCTCGAGGCTGGGATATTGCTACGACCACCAGGCCGGGACTTTGTCAAAGATCGCATCACGTTTTGAGGCTGCCTAGTGGCCTGGTGAAATTGATGTAGCCCTCACCTGGTCAACCATACTGTGATACTGTTCCCTCTTTCTACCTGGCCAGAAATGGTGTGGGACCCAATGTTCAAAACGCACACTCCCACCAAAAAGGCATGTATATACACATTGTTGCTTGGTCAAGTTCTATATCCAAACGATATCAGCGGGTGATATATCCAACGTTCAGACAAAAAAATAACATACTTAGTATATATATATGTGTGTGTAATGTAATGTTATGTTATGTTATTTTATGTAATGTAATGTAGTGTAGTGTAATGTAATGTAATGTATGTATGTATGTGATGTATATGATATGTATGTGGTTTTATGTTTTACTGTAATACTCAATCTTAATATCACAGTTAATTCCAATCTAATTCCTCCATTTCTTTGCGCCGAGGCCTGGGGAATGCTGGAGGGAGCCATGTCTCCGAAGGTGCGCGAAAGGGTCCACATTGGTGGAGGATCTCTAGTGGAAATGTAGATTTAACATGATTTAACAGGAAAAATTAGGAGATTACTGGGACCTCACCCCACACCAGGACTATATTGGATTATATTGGTTTTTAGGTCAGAGTGTAACATTTCCTTGACCTCCAATCTCTGGTTGTGGATGGGTCCATGGCCCGTTTTGGCTACCGTTTTCAGTGAGGAAAATGATGGTCGACCATGACATGGAATGGAGTATCATGGAGTATCCTATTTTCAGATGACCTGATTTCACACTGTTGAATGCAGCTTCTCACAACTTGTTAAACTTGCCACTCTCCCACTACCCTCCGGTAGTGAGGCGTGGGAATGGAAATCCCCAAGTTATAGACAATTTTCCCACAAGCACCTCCAGTTAGGGGGAAATTCCCAGCCATGTTTGGTTACAGACGGGTAGATTGTATAGCAGAGCAACTAGCTTCACCGTACCCACCAGGATGTTCCTTGCGGATCTTTGGGATTGTCAAGCCACGAGCTATGACGAAGCCGGTACGATATCCTCCACGGCAGGCCTTGCCGAACTTGGCGATGTTCAACGTGCAGCGCTTCAGCCCCTTCTATGCCTTGATTGAGGCCTAGATAGCCTAGATATCAAAAATGAAGCACAAGGGACGAAGACCTGGGGATAGGGATGGCTATAGGGGTTGGATAGGGGTCAATGCTTGTCTTGGGGACTCGAAGGGAATCAAATATAGCCATGGAAAATAACGATGGTTCGTGGGACAGATGACTAGTGTATAATAGGATGATATAGGTTTAAGATGGTTTAAGTTCATTTGCAGGTAATGGATGGTAATGGATCATTGCCGGTTGAGATTACCACTGTACCGGATTTCCGGCTGCAGGTCTTGCTGGGAGCAGTTGCTTGCCGCATGGTGGGGGAGCCACGGCAGCTTTTTTTGGAGAACAGAAGTTGCAGTCCCAAAGATGTTGGAACCAATGAAGCTTCATGAAGTTTGATGGTTCAGGGTCGGTTACTTCTTGGATTTTTTGCTGGAATGTATCCTAATTGAGGCTCCTAATGTGCCAAGTTCACCTCGGAATGGTCTTGGACATGTTCATGCACTCTTTTCGGCAAGGTCATGCTCGATGGTGCTGAGGGAGAGGAAAAGGCTCAGGGCTTTGCCAAATCTGTCATCCGTTCCCAAACATTTGTGTGGGATGATGGTTTCCCAATGGGGAAGGGCAGCTCAAACCAGTGAAACGAATCAAGATGGCATTGTCACAACACTGCACTTGACATGCGTGGAGAGCCTTGCTTGGTGTTCTTCGTTGTTCTTGGGTGGGCTGGTGGAAAGCTGGGCACATTGGGCACAAGGCTCCGAAGACGAACGTTCTCAGCACTGCGCTTCCTTTGCTGGGCATGGTGGGGATTTGCAAGTGGCTTCAGTGTTCCCGCAAAAACTTTGACATCACACCGTTGTTCTGTTGCTGAACTGTGAAGTTAAGAATCCCCAAATATCCCCAAGATGTATCAACAGAAGAATCCCATGGAGGAAATTACACGTTGTTGCCCACTTGTCTTCCAAATTATGTTGCCATCCGTCTCACCATATCTCATCATATCTTGCCTATCTTGGCTCAGTGGTTTCATGCGCCTCGTCCCACCTGGGCACCATGCGGGAAGTCGAGGAGTCCCCGTTGTTGGCACCTCGCCTCAACAAATCCCCTGGCTCTGCAAGCAGCTGGGTGGAACGCGCCATGGTCAGCACAGCTGCTTCAAGCTGCGAAGCCGTTCCGATGACCTTGGAACCTGGGAATGGATGGGAATGGATTCATCCCCAGTCTCATTCGGATTATTAGGAAACCCTAATGATGGATATGATGGTGGGTTTACCATACGAAAACCATCTAAAACCCCTAATATACTGGTATCATGTTTCGACCATGGCACATGTGGATGATTGTGTGATGGACATCCATTTGCCAGCTAGTTTCCCGAGTTTGATTTGAAATCCCGGATGGCAGATGTTTGATTCGTCCGTAGCCACTGCCAGGTTCTTTACTCATGATGCGGCCAAGTGCGCCAAGTGTCAAATTAGAGTCAATTACTGTCCCAAGAGCACTTGGGTTCCAGGTGCATCCAACTACCAAGGCCTTGGCTTCCAAAAAGTTTACCCGGTGGCATGTTCTCACAGGGGCTCAGGCTCGTGAACCATATTGAATGATATTGTAAATGTATATATATATAATTATATATATATATACATTATATGATATTACGTTCATAATGCATATATAATATATTATATAAATTGTTTTTTACTATTATTATGATTAGCATTATTAGTCCTATTTTACGTATACATGTATATACATATACATATATATATATATTGAAATTCAGTTGGCTGGATATACAGTCCCATTATACAACATTCTAACACCAATTCTGTATTTTTGTCATATTTTATCCTGTTGGCTGTTGGTTTCGGCCTGTTCCACTGCCCAGGAAGAAGTTGCCATGGCCGCTGCCGCGGACACCACAGCGCGCATCCGCGCGGCTGCGGAGCGCGCCTTGGCGCCTCGCGGAGCCGTGCCGGCCCCGCCCTGGGCTTTGGTGCCGATGGCGCCGATGTACTCCTGGCAGCCCTATGTTCCAATGATGCCATCGATGGGGCCTTTGGGCATGGGATCTATGGGATCCATGGGGCTCAAAAGTGATGAGAAGAAACACCGGGAGGAATTGCAACATGAGTTGCTGGGTTGATGTGGGCGTTTTGGTTGAAGGTGTTTGTTTTGACCTGGGATGATGATTCCGACGATGATAATTTAAAGGGATGGATATTTGTGATGTGGTTTGAGCCCATCAAGATGTGATGGTGTATGTTCGGCTCCTCATCCTGACTTACGCAGTCAATCGGAGGCTATTTGCGCCACCAACAGTCTCAACCAGGTTGGCAGATTTGCGAAGCCGCTTCCAAGAGCTGCAAGACTCCTACAATCAGCTGGAGAAAGAGAATCATCAGTTAAAGACCGTGCCTGGAACTGCAGGCTCCGGCAGCTTCGGTAGGCTTCTGGCAGCTAGCATGCTAGTCACTTTCGAATGGAACGTATAGGGATAGAACGAAGTCAGCAGCCACAGCGATGCCATGAAGTTGATCAAGAACTTCTCCACCTTACCTGGGATCCCACTTGACTGTGGTAAACCTAACAAACCATCCCTTTTTTTTCGCTTTGTTATTGGGTTTACCGGAGTCCCCAATAGGGGATGCAAAATCAACCCCCAGTCATGGTTGGCAGGCAAACTGGACGAGACCTGTCGGCGACAAGAACAGGACATCATCCACTTGAAGAGGGCTTTGAAGGAAAGAGAAGAAGGCCCGAGGATTTATATGTGGCTTTGTCCACATATGGGACACATGATAACCAGAAACAGCAATTTAAGTGGTAAAATGCTGATCCACCATGATATTTTTGGTAAACCCATTTTGGTCCCCTCTCGTCCTGATTGGTGGGTGGTAAAGTTTGAGCCCTACCACCAGACTGACCGTTTATTAAATGCTGGGATAAATTGGCAGTAGTGCAAGAAAATGCAAGCCAGTGGGGGCACTCCTATCAGCACGGATTTGGAAACTGCTCATTTGACAGCTGGTTTAATCTGGTTTCTGGTTTCCGTGTTTTAACTGGTTTAAACCTTCCAAATCTATGTGATCCTAGAAATGATTCGCCCAGTTGGGCATCGTGGATCAAAAAAAAATCTGGATGGGTTGAATATGGTCGAATGATGGAGAGAGTCACCAAGGGAGCTGCCGGATCCTTGGGATGAACGGCGGATCTTACCCTTCGGGCCCTTCGGGACTCAAACATGGCTGAGTGATGCTGAGTGGTAAATGGAGCTTTGAATGGGAAATCATCGACCTGACTGGGTGGTTTTCTCACGCTGCCTATCTGTTGTGATTCAATGCTTGGCAACCAGCCCCTGACCCAAGCCAAAGAGACGAATGACCAGATAGTACTGCTACTACATCAAGTAAAAGAACACATATGCAAACATCCTCACAGATGCAACATCAAATGACATTGAATTCCGTGACATGAGATTGCTGTTCAGGTATTGTTTGTGTGTGTGTGTGCGTGCGCGCGCCTTGGTCCCTACATATTAGCGGGTGGTCTTGGCATATCCAGTGGCAGGCGAAGCGTCCCTGAGGCGGTTGTTTGTGGAAGAACAGGCACTGAGCCGAAATGTGCTCAGGGAGAACGAGCGCTTGAAGCACGAACTCAGCGCCCTGGCCATTTTTTCTCAGTTCTTAGGCCTCCAGACATTCGAATTTCTATGGTATCCTCGAACAAATCCAAAAAAAATAGAACTACTATCTGCTTACTACTATGGACGGATATCATGTTGAAGGGAATTGCTAAACTCCACCAGCACTTCTGGTGATGTGCTTTCAGGCAGTGCCATTGGACGTGACCCGAACCTTTGTGTTTTGCTCACAGCCCAAGTGTGTGGGGCATATGCGGCATATGTTTTTAAAGCATGATGTAGGAAAGCCACATGGTCAGAGGATCAGATGGTAGCACACCGATCCACATCACACATCCACTTCTTAGGTCCAGAGTGTAAAACGCACTAATTACCAAAAAAAAAACTGTTCTCCCAACCCTCCAAAAAATAGGAAAAAAGAAATCAGCCAAGCTTCAAGGGGACGGCCTCCCCGTTGCGCAGTTTTCAAGACATTTTCGCGCTGTCGCCATGAGCGAGCTTCAGCAGTGGGCTGAAAGCGCAGGGCGCTTTGCAAAATCTGGAGAGAAGTTGGAGTTGCAGGTGACCAGGTTTGATGAGTCATTGTATGTTATGGTTACGACTAGATAATCCATATTGAATCATATTTATATAATTATAGTATATAATAGGAATAGGAATACAATTGAATATAATTGAGAGATAGCGATCAACAACGGAGATATTTTTCAGGCTTTGAAAGCACCATCCAAAATCCAGAGGGTTGGTCATGATTTGCGGAGGATCTTCCCAGCTTTGATGCTTCCTCTCCCAGCGTTGATGGTTACAGCAGGTTAAATGTTTCCCAGTAGAACCTGGGGTCGCATGGAATTTCCCAGCCATGGTCCGGGTCAAGTTTTCTGAAAAAGCCTGGTCAAGTCCGGTTGTTTCACCTGCCATTTTTCCACCCCAGTGACCAACCATTGTAGAGCCACCATCATAAATATAATACTGGTTGGTGGTTTGGAACATTTTTCCATATTTTGGGAATAATCATCCCAACTGACTAATATTTTTTAGAGGTGTTGAAACCACCAGCCAGAATATAATATAATCATATGTCATCCCAGTACTAGGAGCATACTAGTTTCCATAAACGACAATTGGGCATTGTTTGTTAATGATTGGGCTTGCCTGATTGGAGGTCTGACAATCGAGACTTTAAACAGCAAAAAAATAGAAAATGCGAATGTTAATGAATATCATTTGTAGATGTCTGGAAATATCTGGAAATGATGGTTGATTTTCTATGACAGGGGGGTGCTTTGTACCCGGCGGGTACGAGACCCCGTTCGCGTTGATTTTCCAGGTGAAGGGGCGACAGAAGGAGGAGGTTATGCAAGTGACCAACAGCAGCTGGGCCTGGAAAAGAGGCGTTTTTTTCCTCAAATAACGAAGCATAACCAAGCAGAAAGGATAACATTTGGATGTTTTTTGGATGTTTTTTGGATGTGTTAATCTCTGACATTGTTTGTTCACCATTGTTTGCTATTGCTTTCTTTTTATGGAAATGATATTTTCCACGAATGGGGGCATTGACATGCTATACATACATACATACGTACGTACGTACGTACATACATACATACATACATGCAATCATACATACATACATACATACATACATACACACACACATACATACATACATACATACATCAAGGGTCACGGGCACACCAATTTCTTCTTCTTTATTTTTTTCATCTTCATCTTCATCTTCATCATCTCCTTCGTCCTCTTCTTCTTCTTCTTCTTCTTAGCTATATATCTAGATTGCTCTATTTACTCTTATGTGTTTATTCGATGTCTGTTTTTGTAACAATGGGTGCATTGATCCAACCTAGGCTGGTGATTTGGCATGATTTGGCAGCTGTCTTCCATGCCTGATAGAAGATGATCCCAGTTGACTTCCAGTTGTTTCAACAACAAGTCCCTATCCCAGACTTCGTTCGAGGTACCAAATCGAAACTTTGGTACTGCGGTTTCTGCGGTGACAGCTGCATTCCGCGCAGCATCGCCAAGCACCTGGTGAAGCCTCAGCAGCTTGGGAAACGCGGCAGCTGCGGCGAGGTCACCGTAGAAGCGCTGCGCGAGGTCATGTGCTTCTGCGCAGCAGAAGATGCCGAGCTGGCGGAGCAGAAGATCCAGGAGATCGGAGGCCCATGGCTTTTTTGGAGACAATTTTTGAGAAGTCCATTTGAGTTATTTTTAGTTGGGATATGTCGGGGGGTAATTCGAGAAAAAATGTCAAACTTGGTGAACGTTTAGGATGTGTTTTGGGGAAATGAAGAGTCGTAGACGGAAAACGATGGGAATACAGCCTGAATACAGCCATCTAGCTACAAGAAGTGCAGCCTATCAAAGAGCTTTCGAAGATTGGCCATGAGCAAAAACAGAGAGGATAGCGGCCAGCAACATCCACCCGCTTGAGGATCTGTCAAAACTGGGGATGTTCACCCAAAGCCATGGTCGATATTTTGATCCCCACAAAGAATTCAGATATTTGGATATATTTGGGGACTTTACGATCTACATTAACTACACCCGAACTGACCGAATTGATGGTTGGCATCAATATATAAATAGTTATATAATATATCTAATTATATATATAAAAAAAAAACATAAATCAGTGACCTCGAAAAAATTGCCCGCATTACCAACCCGTTGCCCTTATGACCACTCCCAGAGACCCTGCTGGAAAGTCATGGGTCCAAGCATTTTGGAGTCCCCATAAAGGAGGTTATTAGTCAGAGAGTATGGAAGATCTTCTTAGCATTTTCTTCCTGGCTCCAAGCCTCTTCATTGTACCCCTAGACTGGGATGATTCAAACTGACTGTCCAATCTACATAGACCCATCTTCACCTGAGGTGGCACAGCGGAGCCCAAGGCCGAGCCCAAAGAGCCCAAGGAGCCCAAGGAGCCCAAAGAGCCCAAGGAGCCCAAGGAGCCCAAGGAGCCCAAGGAGCCCAAGGAGCCCAAGGCGCCGAAGGCAAAGGGCAAGCGGAGCTCCGAGGCGCCCAAGGAGTCTCCAAAGCGGGCGAAGGCGAAGGCTGCGCCCAAAAGCCCGGAAAAAAGAAGGGCCAAGGACGAAAAGCCCCAGAACGCTGAAAAGCCGGAGACAAAGGCAGACGAGAGGAGTCACTGGTCTTACATTGGGGATTTGGATGGATTTGGGATTTGTTTTTTTCCCTCGGCGGGCTATTTTTTGGGGAATTATATATGTGTGTTCTCCGTTTTGGGATTTTTTCTTGGATTTATGTTTGCTTTTCCTTGCTTCTTTACTTCTCTGCTTTTCTGCTTCTTTGCGCATCTGTTTCTCCAAGATTTCTGCTTCTCTGCTTCTCGGCTTTTATTTTTCTGATTTTCGCTGCTTCTTTGCTTCTTTGCTTGTCTGTTTTTCCCTGCTTCTTTGCTTCTCTGTTTTTCTGTTTCTTTGCTTCTCTGCTTCTCTGCTGTCCCTGCTTTTTTGCTTCTCAAGCCCAAGCAATCCCTGAGATCCACTGAATAAATAAACTCTAAGCCACCCTAAATAACCCCCAAACCAACCCCAGAAAAATTAAAACAACCCAAAGTAAACCCTAAACAAACCCCAAATGAATCTGAAAACTTACCCCAAATATATAGATCCTAAACCAACCCTGAATAGATCTCAAGCCAAGCCAAAACAAACCGTAAATAAACCTTAGACAAACCTTAAATAGATCCTCAACAAACCCCAAATAGACCTTAAACCACGCCTCAGCAAACCGCAAACCAACCCAAAAATAAACTTAAAAACCAACCCGGAAAAGACTAAACCAACACGAAAACCAAAACCAAGCCAACCCCTAAATAAACCAACCCTAAAACCAACCCGAAATGAATCCTAGGTGCAAAATACCATGCGACATGAACAGTTCGAGCACCAAAATGTTGCAAATAGCACGGAAAATGAGAGGTTCGAATTCCAAACTTTTGCAAAATGCCGTTGAAATGGCAGCTTCCAGTTCCAAAATGCTGCAAATAGCAAGGAAACGGACAGGACAGGAGATCAAAAAAAACAAAACGGAAAAAAAAACAAACCCTTTCCCATCCCCAAGTTTCAATTGGACGAAGAGATAGATTCTTGGGGTGACAAAAGTGCACTAATCAGGTGACGTGAAAGGAGCAGAGAAGAAAGGTAAGAAGGAGAAGAACGAGGAGAAGGAAAAGTTTCAGAGCAAAGAGCCGCAGGAAGAGAAGCCAGATAGCAAAGAGTCCAAAGATGCCAAGGACCCTGAGAGCCCCAAGGGAAAGAAGCGAAAAGAGATGGTGGCGGCCACATCTACCGCGTCGAAAAAGGGCAAGACAGGCAAGGAAGCAAAACCAAAGGTGGATGCTGAGGCTGAGGCAGTCCACAATCACAATGGCTCCGATCACGAGGATGACATGGAGCAGGAGCCGGTAGATGAAGTTTGCCTTGGCATAGATGGTGTGGAAGATTGGGAGCTACCAAACATCCCTGAAGTCGGCTTAGTGGCTTCTGCCAGCGCAGTGGCTGAGACGCTCTTATTGACCTTGGAACTCAAGTCCAATGAGCTCACTGAGGTGGTGCAGCTGCAGAGTGATCAGTCGGAATTCCTGACGAAAAAGTTCCTTGGCATTCCTTTCCATCATCGCTGTCATCAAGAGCCCACCTATCCATGGTCATTGAAACGCCCTCTGGTAATCCATGGCAATGGAAAGCCCACCATTTACAGATGTTTTGATGTTTTTTTCCAATTACAAACTCCATTTATAGAGGGGTTCCATCATGTTCCATCGCTATGTTTGATTGCCAGAGGGTACAGCCAAGTATTTGTGATTCAGTGCTCTTCGTCGATTGTGTTTGCCCGCTCTGGTGAATGGGGCCCGCAACCCAGTCAACTCTCAGGCAAATACCCTACATAGATCTACATAGGGAGTGACTATATAGTTTCAAGCCCATTTCAATTGTGTATTTACATGGTAACATAATGTAAGATATATTTATGCACGGTGCACACATGTGTACACATGTTCAACATTTATTCATACGTACATAAACTATGCGTGTGTATGTATGTATGCCCATCCCATCATGACAGTTTATACCCCCTTTTTCTGTTAGAAAAAACACAATTTTGGCTGGCAAAGAACCCATTTCAGTTAATTGATCCTCAATTTTTGGGTGGTTCCAACTCCATTTCTGCAAGTTTATCCCTCATTTTCATTCATTTTCAATTAATGCGTATCTCTTACATCTCCCCATGGATCCCATTGGATCCCCATAGGTTTGGCACTTCCACCTGGTCCAGCCTCATCGCCGCCGTGGCCGATGCCACTCTGGACGTGCATTGGGATTCGGTCACCATCACGGCGGACAGCCCCAGGGGCCGAATGATCGCAGCGACGCTCCACGGCGGAACCAAGATGAACCAAGTCAATAGTATTGAGATGTGGGTATGGATCAATACCTATTAATACCATTTTTAGTGGGATGAACATCCATTTACCAGCTATTTTGGGGTTCACTAGGTTACCAGGGTTTTGACACACTGCCATGTGTTGAGAAAGGCGGTTTAAAGTTTGGGGCCACAATTCGAATGAGAGATTTTCATTGTTTTTGACCCAAGGGATCCTAATTTATCTACTTTGCTGGGGCTACTATTCGCAGTCTGAAGCGCCTTCTTGATGTACCAAATTATTTGCAACTATCACGACAGGATTCGCACCAGGGGTTTGGCCACTGCACCATTAGAGGGCCCAAGTTACTTAGCGGCAGCGGTTGGGTTGTAGCAGTTGCCATTCCATGTGGCATCGGCTGCGCAAAACTACCAAAACTTCTGCAGAAATGGGATCCCTTGGCACGTTCTCGAGGCTCCTCAGCCGTGCAATGGAGTTCCACTCTGATGGAGGGATCATCGTGGGCAAAGGTCCCATGCATCCGTTTATCACCGTGGTGAAGCTTGGTGCACTTCCGCATTCGTACCTCGAGTGGTTTGCACAGCTTGGGGAGAAACACCAGGTCTGCATCATCCCAGCCCGCCTCGCAGGTTCCCTGGAACTCGTGAAAGGTGCATCCGTGCAAGTGCAGGAAAGAGACGGATGGATTTCTGCTGAGATCACGAAGGAACCCTGCATGGGGGTGCCTGGTTACTAATTCCAGAGTTTGTTTAGTTTTGTTTGTGTTTCGTCATCTCACCAGAACGATGCAATTTCAATCAGTTTCAGTATGTTTAAGTTCACTTTCCCCATGTAAAAGAAATGGGTTTGAGTCCCGAAAGTTAGACAGGCCCGCATTTCTTAAGGGAGACGGTGCCGAAAAGACATGCATATTTCTTAAGACCTGCGTGCCCCCTGACAAGATAAATGAGGATAAAAAGTGATAAAAAGAAAAACATAAGAGAGAGAGGGAGAGAGCGGCTCGTCTCCCCAGCTCAGTTGCTTTGGGTCAGCATCGATGGCTCGCAACGAGAAGTGGAAGTTTCCAGCCTGCGCTGCGGCTTTGACTTAGTCGCCATCTTTGGTGAACAGCAGCAGCGGGCCATGGTGCAGCTGGCGCTTATGAGTGATTGCTGGAGCCGGGCCACTGGCTGCTTCGGTGAAGATTCCATGCTGGCACTGGGACCGCGGGAGGCGCGAGTTCTCACAGAGAGTCTCTCTAAACATCACATGTTTGGGGGCTAAGGTACTGTTAACCTCTTTTTCACCACCAACAGTGCCCCCCAAGAAAAAGCGTTACCTTGGTTTGAACATCTTTGAACTCATCACGGGGAGATGTAGGCAGATAGAGGATGATAGAAGGTCCAGATAGAGACCCTTGCCAGGACTGGGGAACTTATCGCAAATACTTCCACGACACCACCTTCATTCAGACCTATAGTCACTATGTGGAAAAGGTCCTGCAACCAGCCAGTGGCTGTGCTGCCAGATTCATTGGGCAGATGTTTTTTGCCGCAGGCTGGGTCAACTTTGGATGGCATGCATGCATGCATGCATGCATGCATGCATGCATGCATGCATGCATACATCCATATTTACATACATATACTTATATACCTTTATAATCCTTTATATATGTATTTACGATTATTTACGTATGTATATATATATATATGTGTGTGTGTGTGTACATGTTTATTTACATAAATATGATTAAATATGCATACATGATCATACGTGTATATAATATTATGTGTATATATATATGTGTGTGTGTGTTTGTGTGTGTTTTTTGTTCACATACTGCTGTACATATTTAATTATATATATATACACACATATGCATGTATTTAAAATGCATGTTATACATATCCTTTTAGATGTTGATATGTAGTTTGATGATGTTTTGATGATGTTTGATGAGTTCGTGTTTAATCTTGTGCCATAAACAGAAACAATCCCGTTCCCACAATCTGAGAATGCCTGGTTTGATATTGGATCGATTCATTTTGGGGGCCATATGGAGGGCTGTTTAATAGTAGAAGGATGGGATTATTTCCTAATCAGCTGAAAGAAAAAACTTTTTCGCCGGGGGCCCATCAGACTGGCGAGGCTTTCGCGAGTCTAGATGTTGTGCAGCGCTGATGCTCAGGGACTTGGAGAAGGCTTACAAGAACTACGGCAACTCGGGCGAAACCAAAGTCGATTTTGGTGACCATACCGTAGTAATAGATGGTTACCCTCTGTCAATGGGAAGTTCAGGATCCTAAAATGGAGGTACTGTACCATATAAAACCATATTTTGAGGGGATATTCCCTTACATAGGCCTTATATAGGCCTTATACGATCAAGATTGCAGAAACATTCGCACAGCCTGCTGTTGCATAAGGAGTCTGCGCACTCGTGTAGAGGCCCGTGCCAATGTTACAGAACGTGAAGTTTGGAGTCGACAGCTACAGCTCATGCAAGCGAGCGTACAACATTACCCGACAGAGGAACTCAACACAGCTGACACAAGTTGCTTGTCCAGAACCTTGGCTAAACGCTTTGATGACAGACCTGGTCCTTGTTCAGTGCAAAACGCTCGCATTCCTGTATCAATGTGACTGAGCCAGCTACCATGGCCAACCGACCGCATCAAATGCAAGTGGTTGCAACACCTGTTAAGTTGACCGCTCGAGCAGCTCTACGCTTGCAAGCCTGCATCAATGCTGTCGAGCTAGCGATCATGGCTAACTCGATCACATTGGATTCAGCTGTGAAGCGGTATGCACCGCAAGAGTGCACTACAGCTCCCAATGATGATGATGCTTGGAAAAGAACAACTGAGCGGACTCTGAGTGTGCCCTGAGTGCCGTAGCTATTGCTGTCATTTTCACCTTAGATCTGTTTCAGCTTCCCGTTTCACCTATTTTTAGTTTCTCACCACTCTCGTTGCGACCCGGCGTTGTCGGTGTTTGCTACGAAGTGCCTGGGTGTAATGTCATGTCTTATGGCTGCTCTTTGTGGTCTCGGGGATCCTGGCTGGGGGGATCCCTGGTTTCCGCAACGAGCTTTGTTGCTTCTTTCACCCACCAACGTGGCTCTTTGGTGTGTTTTGTGTTTGCTCCGTTGCATAGTAGGTACCTCCAATTTAGGTTCCTGAAATGGCCATTGACTCTGGTTATTTAACATAGCATAACATAGCTATGGAAAATGGCCCATATTTATAGATGGTTTACCTATTAAAAATTGTGATTTTCTATGGCTATGTTAGATAACCAGGTGGTTACCAAAAAAACATAGCCACATGATTTGATGCAAACGGAGGATCAATTTCCTTGGCTTCGGTCGCTGAAGATTTACGGGACAGAATCGGGAAGCAGAGGTACTAAACCAAGCGACTTCTACGAAATCAGGAAGTAAAGTACGAAGCAGAGACATCTAAAACCAAGATGCACACCACAATTGAACCACCACACCTCTACAAAATGCACACCACCCCCAGCAGCCAGGCATGGCTCAGCAAATATCTCTGCAAAGTTTGGTTTGACCAGGGCTCTCTACAAAATGCTGTCAAGTCACTACAAAATCAGCAAACATTTCTACAAAATTGATGTGAAACTAACAAAACATTTGAGACATGTAAAAATTTTATTTAAGTTCCTGTTTGCCTGGATTTCACAGGGAGATGTTAAGTTTCTGCCCTTCTATCAGGGTGTGTGTGTGTGTGATTGGATGTGTGAGGGACGCTGTAGACAGGGGTCCAAATTCACTTTGTACATCTTTGTACTAACAGAACTGGTCGCAACAGCGTAGTTGCCACAGGTGAGATTTCTTTCGGAGAAGAGACCAAGCGCTTCAGTCTGAGAATCACCCCCAATCGGCCCAGCATGAAGAGCCTTCTGGGCCGCCAGTCCGGTCACCCGCTGCAAGAAGAGGAAAAATTCCAATGCGCCGTCTTTCTGGGCCGAGGGAGAGAGAAGAAACAGGACCGGCCTTCGATTTCAGAGTGTTTTGGTGAATCCCCTACCGTTACCAGTTTCGTAAAATGAATATACCCGGTACTCAAACGTGGTTTGCTGGACAATCTTCCATTAGGATTTTGCAGCCATCTTGAAAAACTGGAGGGTTCAGTTCAGGACATGTCCCAGCTGCCAGAGGGCACGAGTGTCGAGGTGTTCAGTGGTGGATGCTGGTGTGAGGTCATTAAAGCTGCGAATGAAGAGTCTGACACCTCAGAAGGCATCAAGGTGGCCTGGCTTGAAGCAGGCGGCGCAGGAGCAGCCCCCAATTCTTTCGGGAAATATGCCTCGATTCGTGGCTTTAATCCATTTTTTACATGAGTTACAATTGTTTATTTCTGGTTGATATATAACATTATATAACCAGGTAGCATGTCGGATGATCCTCCATCTATGCCGGATTTGAAGGGATTGTCATCATACATTGCCCGGCTGGAAATCACAAGATATTTTCCATGGAAATGGACAAACCGTTGGTGATTTAACCATGTAACCCATATTTTGGTGAATAAATCACCCATATTTCTGGTGCGGGATCCCAATAGGAACGGTTGTCCGATATCATCCCAATAGGAAGCCCCAATAAAAGGTCCCAATATTCAAAAATCTCCTGATGTTTCATGGTTATATAGATCCATATGCCCAAGCCGAGACCCTACATGTTTGCCTCCATTTGCAATGTCAGGTGACCTGGCCAAACAGCGGCTCTTCAGTATTTCAGTCATCTCAAGTTCGAAGTCTGGGCAGCGAGGTGCTTTGCAGCAGCGTGTCTGCTTTCCAACGCGTTTCTCGGGTATTGATAAAGTGATATCTATAACAACCTCCAAACAGAGCCACAAACAAAAAGACTGGAAACAACTCGAAAATATGGAGAACACATCCTTGAACGAACATCCTTGAAATTTTGATCTATTTGCTTGGGGGTTACTGTAGTGTATACTCATGGGTGGCCCTATCCATGAATGGGCGTGCAAGAGGGATATACGATGATACACGGGTGGAATTTAGATTGAGGATATGACGGGACAAATAAATCAAAATACAATCAGCAACCTATGTTTCTTGAAGTCCGCCTGGAATATTTCCACGCAAAGCCACTGTTCACAATGTGGCAAATCCAACGCCATAAACCACCAATATTGGATATATAATCCGCCCACACCGCTTTGGCGGTGAAGGCGTGCTTATTGGGGGGCAAAACAGCAACACTAAATGCTCAATGACATTTGTTAATATAGCAGTCGCTATATCAGCTTTAGCTGGGGGGGGGCCAAAAACGGTTTCGCACCGAGACCAGAATACGGTGGTGTTTTCGACATTTTTCGAGGATTTTTGGGTGTCTGAGCGCAAGAGGGTATTGAAATGGAATTTTGGGTCATTTTGGTAGCTTTCCGGCAATGGAAAAACGGCCAAAAATGAAAAAAACATTGTACATAGCAAGATTTTGCAGGGTTTTTGGATGCCAGAGCATTGAAAACACTGCAAAAACAAGTGTTTTGGACTGACGTTATAGCAAAAAACGTGTAAATTACCGTATGCTTGACTGGAAACATTACAAAAACACTGTCAAAAGCAATGTTTTGGAAGGATTTACTGCCTTTATGGCAAAAAACGTGTAAATTACCGTCTGTTTGACTGGAAACATTGGAAAAACACTGTCAAAAACAATGTTTTGGAAGGATTTCTTATATATATGTTGGAGTTGGCTACCGGCATTGGCACATGGAAAAATTGAAGAAAACACTGTAAATAGCGGTATTTTCAACGGTTGGGGAGATAAGGGAATTGGAAGCATTGTCGAACATGATGTTTTCGACCGGTTTTATGGCGACAAAAGTGTAAAGTACCGTGCTTTGAAGGAAACCATTGCAAAAACATGGAAACACATTCAAAGAACACGGGATTTGGGGGACTATCTAGGCGTCGTTGTCTAGCTATTTGAAATTCCGCAGCTTGGAGAGCCTCCAAGGGAGGGAAAAGTGAAAATTCCATAGCTTGGGAAGCTGTCACGGCGGGGAAAAGTGAAAATTCCCTAGCTTGGGAAGCCCCCACGGGGGGGAAAAGTGAAAATTCCCTAGCTTGGGGAGCCCCCACCGGGGGGGAAAAGTGAAAATTCCCTAGCTTGGGGAACCCTGACTGGGGGGAAAAGTGAAAATGCCCTAGCTTGGGGAGCCCCCACGGGGGTGAAAAGTGAAAATTCCCTAGCTTGGGGAGCCCCCACGGGGGGGAAAAGTGAAAATTCCCTAGCTTGGGGAGCCCCCACACGGGGGGAAAGTGAAAATTCTTAGCTTGGGGAGCCCCCACGGGGAAAACCACCCTTAGCCCCTCTCACGGACCGAAATAAACCTGCGGTGTGGGCGGCCACCCCACGCGAAGCGGGGTGAATTATATCCTCGTTTGGGATGCTGCAAAATTACCTCCAGTCATTGTTGGTTTTTGGGGATTGTTATTTGGATTTACATGGTTTACCACATTTTACCACATTCCATAGTACATATATATATATATATATATGTAATGTCTCTTGACGTTGTCTTGGAGAACTTGTGCAAATGACTTGTGGCAAAGAGGTTCCAACAATCCGTTTTTTCGTGTGTGCCCGTATCCATTAAGGATGCGTTTTAAGGACTTTTTTCCCCACCCATTCCTCCAGGTGTCCGTTAAGCTTCCCAGGTTTGCACGGCGCTCCATTTCCTTGCCAGATCTTCCGACACTTCCAAAGATGGTGGCTTTCAAGCCTTGAGGGATGTTCACAAACTGCCTCAAACGGCTGGCAAGGTGCTTCAGCTATGGAAGGGGCTCCAAAAAAAGACCTCAATTTGTGGGGCTGGTATGGTATGGGCTGGTCTGAAAAAGTGGCAATCGAATGGAGAAAACGGTGATATATACATCACTGGATTTTCAGGCTGGCCTATATGTTTTGAGGCAAATCCGGATGGGGACCCACTTAATCGCATTGACATGAGTGCATTTTCAAAAAATAGGTTGGTTTGAATGTAAGCGCCAAAGTCTGGAGTTTTTACCCATCCCCACATGACACCGAGATACTCCATGATACTCCCATGCCCCTGAGATTAAAGACCATGCCCTCACGAAAATATTCATCGTGTTCAAAAAAAAGGAATTCCAATGAAGTCTATGAAATCTCAGGATTCCATTAATGGGGGTCCCGGGGTCAACAGGTTTGAATGGTATTTCATGGGCTGACCTGGGATGACCGTGGCCAGGTCGAGATCATTGAGGCACCAAGGGGCACCAATGCTGCACAGACAGAGTGGCGCCAACACGTGGCCGCATGCTGCCAACGAATTGCCACGGCCTCGAATTGCGCAGCAGAAATGATAGGAGGCATGGCGGCCAAAATGTGTTTCTGAATGATTGGTTTGTTTCTTCAGAGGGGCATCCACCCATATGGGTTTAAATGTGCAGCAATAAGAAGCCAGCCATACTTTTACCATCTTTTACCATCCATTTTTGGTAAGTCATTGGTGATGGATTGTTGGATTTACCACATCAAAAAAAATCATGTCCGCAACTTCCGCAAGAACTTGCTGCATAGCTGCCCTGGTAAGGCAGTTTAGTCCTTTTTGGCGACGCTGCAGCGCGTGAATCTGCACAGCTTATCCTGCCATGGATCGTTGAGCAGGCAGGCAATGCCTTGGCATCGCTTGTGCCAAAGCACCTGGGCGAGGGAACCAAGGGGTGGCTGGTGCCCTGGTTCGTCAGCGAAGTGTTGCTTTACTTCACTAGTTGCACGAGGGTTTATGGTAGCAAACGTAACTAGTGGTAAACCAACACTTATGAATTATCATGATATTTACATGATCATTACACAAATAACACTAGTTTATCATGATAATTATATCTCTAGTCCATGGGGTTGGTAAACCAGCAAACGTAACTGGCGGGCATCACCTTGTACTGCAAGAGCGGGGCATACCCCAAAAAGCTACGAAGAACCGGGGAACGTGATGATTTACTATGGGATGTTGAGTATGATGTTGAAATAATTTGGCAAATGCATGCAAATTCAAACTGCCCAACAAAGTCATATAATATATATATACATATTGTTTACTTGACCATCCCCTGTTTTAAAGTTCTTGGGGGCTGATAAGAATGAGCCATACTCGTTTGTTTGCGTCCAGGTTGGTAGAAATCGCGTTTTTTTCAGGTGGGGTGTTTTTCCGACATATGGGCTCCCCCAGACCATACCAAACCAGTGTTTTTGATTGTTTTTGGGGTTATAAAAGGAAGAAAAGTGCATCAGAAATGGACATTGTTGATCTGGCTGGTTCCAACACGGTGCCCATGAGTTCCGCAAGAAGGATTTGGATGATGATCCAGAGTGATTCAGTTTTTTTGGGGCAACCCATCCCAGGTTTGGTACAAAAGATATCGAAAGGTAAATGTACAGGAATCCCCCTTAGGTTATTTTGCATTTAACTATTTGGATTTGGAAAAAGATCTTGGGTGCCCGTGTTTTCCTTGAACCTAATCCATTGAAACCACTGATGTGTTCACCGGTCCTGGCAGCGCCAAGGGTCGATCTGGCAGAAGTGGAGCTCACCGAGGAAGAAGTGAAGATGCTGACAGTGAACATCATCCAAGAGGCTGGGTTGAGGGCCGATATCCAAGGGGTGTGTCTCAAAATGGGGTTATACACTTATACCATCTTATACCCCAAAACGGCTATATCGATGGGATACCAAAAAAAAGAAATGTGATCGACTAATTCTTCGATTTTAGAGGCTATTTTCAGACATGACTCCATGTGTCGGAGATTTGTCGTTTCGAGTTGTTTTCATGGGTAAATTGATGATACCCTCCGGTAATCACAAGGGAAAATCCATGAACATTTGCCGTTTCTAGTTAGTTTCTACATTAAACCCCACATTTCCTACAAGATGTCCCATGATGTTCGATCACCAAACTAACGTCAGGCCCATGACAAGCCAACAAAAGAGAAAGAACACCATTCTGTTATGTAAGGGCTACGTGAGGGGATTTTCCCACAAAATGGGGTTTTACATGGTTTTATATGGTACAGTACCAGTTTAGGTAATTACTGTATGTGAAATGGCCAGTGAAGCATGATCCAACAAGATACTCTGAATGGAATTTGTCATTTATGTCTCACTTCCCTTTCGACATGGCCAGGTTGAGAAAAAGGCGAAGGCCTACATCTTCCTGCGAGATGACAACAGCCAGTACCTGTACAAGCATGGCGACAGCATTGAGTTCCTCTACCGACAGCACCAAGGAGACGAAGGCAAGTGGTGCCGGGGTACCTTTGTGCGCAAGTGCGTGGGTGCCACGCATCAAGCAAAGATACGGTACCAGCACCAACAGCGAGATCTCGAACATGTTGCCAGCTTGAAACTGGGCATTGATCGTTAGATCAATGTTGATTTTACATTTTTTTCTGCTATATGTTTCTTCCTTTGCTTTGGTTGTTGTTTTCCTTGATTTATGATGAACACCACACTTCTGAGCACTTTTTGAACTCAGCTCCCTGTGGCGATCGCTCCGGGGTGCTCAGGAAAGACGTCCGGCCAGACGAGTCACAGCGAAAGGCCCCCGCCGTCTGCGTCTACAGCCGCTTCTCGCGTAGCAGCGGCCGTGGTGGCGTCACAGTCGTGGCACGCTGCTTAAAGGCGGCCCTTCGTGATGCCTTGGGGAAAGCATCCACTGGCCAAGGCCTGGATCTTGACACACAAATGGTCACACAGAATTGACATCATGTGACACCAAACAGGCTCAAGAGAGAAACAACATGAAAGAAAATTGTTGGTGGTGTGGGGTTTGCTGTCTTATGATGCGTTGTGGTGGTTTCATTGATGTTGGGAGCTTCAAACTATCCGATTCGGGCATTCTGTTTTTGAAGGTGCGGGTTGTTTCCATCCTATTTGTCACATTTTGTCACATATCTTAAGGTTGCCCCTCGCAAGGACGAAGGAAGGGAGGAGGAAAGGCCCAAAGCTCGACGTGGAAGAATGACTGGCCAAACAGAGACGACAAGAAAGAGGACTGGAAGAAGCAAGACGACTGGAAGAAGGATAACTGGAAGAAGGAGGAGGACTGGAAGAAACAAGAAGACTGGAAGAAGAAAGACGACTGGAAGAAGGAAGAGGACTGGAAGAAGCAAGAAGACTGGAAGAAGAAGGACGACTGGAAGAAAGAGGAGGACTGGAAGAAGCAAGAAGACTGGAAGAAGGAGGAGGACTGGAAGAAGCAAGAAGACTGGAAGAAGGATAACTGGAATAAGGAGGAGGACTGGAAGAAGCAAGAAAACTGGAAGAAGAAGGATGACTGGAAGAAGCAAGAAGACTGGAAGAAGAAAGATGACTGGAAGAAAGAGGAGGACTGGAAGAAAGAGGAGGACTGGAAGAAGCAAGAAGACTGGAAGAAGACGACGAAGGAGGACTGGAACCAAGACCGAGGCTGGCATAAGAGGGAAAGCTGGAATCAGCCCAGTGGCTGGCAGAAGGCTTGGAAAGCTGAAAAAAGCTGGCAAAAGGAAGCTGGCCAACAAGGGGACCAGCAGAACTGGCAAAATGACCAGAAAGACTGGCGACCAACAGAGGATCGGCAGGGTCATGGACAAGAAGACGCTGATGTTGGGCAAACTGTCCAACCCGAAGCTGGCTGATGATTTCCAGTTATTCTCTGTTTTTTTGTTGTTTCTTTCAGCATTTTAGTTGGGAAAATCATCAGAAAAACTGGATGGGTGGCTCAACCAGCAACAAGGAAGCATCCCAAGCCTCTGCAAGCAAGAACTCATGGCAAGGCAACTTGGTTTGGTTGACGGGCATGGCCTTGCTGATGAATTTAAGTTCCTGAACTTGATTCTCCATGTGGCCAGATAGGTGTGAATTCCAGGTTAGCTTGAAGGTCGCGCAGAAGCAGTGAACTGATGCTGACTTATTTTTTTTGTGGCACTGACACCATGATCATGCCTTGCTGTCAGCTGCACGTTGATCCCTGACTGCTGGCGGAGGCAATGGAGAGGAGACCAAAACAGAGGACCAGAAAGTTGCGGAAGAGACTGCCCCTGAAGCTCCTGCTGAAGAAAAGTAGCCAGCAGGAGCAACACCAGCTACTGGTGGAGGGAACCAATTGTACAAAGACAACCAGCTGCTTTTGAAGCAAGCCGTGCGAGAGGACAGCGAAAACTTGCACCATGAAAGCGCTGTCTGACTCAGATCTTGATGTTTGTGAGGGATGTCAAGTTTGACACATACCTCAAACACGCACCGCCATCAGCATGCTAAGGTATCTCAAAGGTTGGAGAAGATAAGAGTCGGTTGGACAGTCGCCGGTGCCTTTCTAGCACAACACGTACGAGTGTCACCCATCAAGGTACTTTCAAGACATGAGTCCCATGTCTGGAAGAATGAACACCTGGATACGGCGAAAGAACCAAAATGAATAGATCAAGCATTTATATACATACTATCATACTATTATTTGGATGTATATGTGTATATCTGTATAAATATATATATATATATCAATAAATAAGTGTATATATATATATATATTGAGTTCGATTTTCTGATGGGCGTTTGTCATCGGGGGGGTACCCTCGGCTTCTTGAAAGCCTGAAAATTCTCCGGCCGTGACATGTTGGGACTCATCAGCAGGCTCACTACTGGGCTCACTAATGGGCTCGTCTTGGGGCGTCTTGGGGCATCGTGGATCACCAAGGCGATCTTCCTCTTCGACCGGCTGCTCGGATGAACTTTAGACCTTGGCATTCAACACAGTGCTTACAGGGAGATCATTTTAAGAGAGTTCGTTTGACTCTGTGGACATCTTTCAGCAATGATGCTCGACTGTTTCTTTCCATTTTGCAGCTCTGTTGTTCGGTGGCGAGGAACAACAGGATCCGTCATAGAGGTTGATCTGACTGGTGAGTTGTGACCAGCCTGTCCTGAAACCAGGGAAACGCGCCATCTTTTGATTCCAAAAGCGGTCTCCGACTATGGCGCTACGCTGGGACGAACTCCGCCATCGAATTCAAGGATTTTTAGTTTCGATAGATGCAAACTTTCAGCTGTGAGCTGATCAATTCGCAAAGGACAACAAGTTGGCTGCCGCTGTCTTTCGGTCGGTGGTGTGTTTTAAAAAACTAATTAGACTATGAACACCCCCTAGATTAGAAGTCATTGTTTATTGGGTCTGTTCACTTGGGGGTCCCATGATGGTGTTCTTTTATTTTGGCGGGAATTCGTCCAAAAATGGCGGGGATGTGCCAACTCTCCTTCTCCTTCGCTGGTGGACGAGCGGTGTGGCAGGTGGCAGTTGTTGTTCTGCGAGCCATGGGTGTCCACATCTCGGGTGCACGTTCGAACGTGCACAGCTACTATAGCATTACTGGCTGCTTGCTGGTGTCAATCATGTTTCATGTTCAACCCTAGGGATACTGAGCCGAAAATGGCTTTACTGCCCCACCAGTTGGTTTTGATGTTTCGACACACCGGGTGCAAACCGGTAGTACCCCATCGCCTTGGCCCTCTTAAGGTCCTTCAGATCAGCGATCTGCTGACACGCGTGCCATGCTCAAGGGGGAGCAGGGCACCTGTTCGGACACACAAAGATCTTGTCATTTTTGTACGAATCTGAAACTTGACAATTACTGTTTACCTATAGCATCCTATAGCCATGCAGGGCTCTTTCTGAAGCAGTGGGTATGGGTCCAGATTGATCAGATTACCAATGCTCCCAACTACAAGTTGTTGGTGGTAGCTTGCTAAATTTTCCTGCACCAGCAAGCAGCGCTCGCTAACCTTGCAGACTGGCCCTGATGCTGGACAATCGGGCATGGGTTGGAACCAACAGTTGGGGAGTTTAACAACTAGTGAGAAATTAGAGTCTACATCACTGATTAAACTTATCTTATGTATTACAATGTTGATGTAAGTAATGCTTAAATAGGGCAACTCAAATATTTACCTAATTTAAGTAGCATATTACAATCATTTCTCTGGGGATTTGCCCCATGTCCATGGCATGTGAGGCCTTGATCTTTATTCCGCTTTTCCTGAGCTTTCTGATGAGCGCACATCGAGCATCGGCTGGGACCTCCAGGGCTTCTGTTCATGGATGTGCTCCATGGATAATGAACGAGCATGCTATTCGCCTAGTCGCCATGTGTCCCCTTTTGTCCCCAAAACGCTGATTTGTTTGGCAAAACTGACAATTTCAACTGGTCACACTGCCCATCCGCAAAGAAGTATGGATGCAATTGCTTGGAGCGAGGTTCTTCCTGAGGTAAAAGATGGTGTTGCCTGCTGCCCAGCACATCTCTTGATGGGCAAATGTGAAGTGTGTTTTTTCTCCAGCAGTAGCATGCTGTAGCTGGATGAGGTGAAATTTCTGAGCAGCAAATTGTTGGTCAGCCTGGGCAATCTTGCCTTCCCAATTTTTGTCCACTCCTCAGCGAGTGTCGGAAAAACCGCGACGGCAGAGGTCGCAGAACTGCCTTAGTTGAACTACGGAAGTACGGTCCGTTGGTGGAACTGAGGTGGTGCACGGACCACTTGGGCAAGTGTTTTACAAGAAGGCCCACATCCGCCACCACGAACCCTATCCACGGGCAATGAATGGTTTTTACTTTTGCACAGACACTGCTTGGTGATCTCAAGCCTTTGTTTTATTGTGCGGGCTTGAGATAATTCACCCCAAGTGGCTAATTTGCCTCGGGTCCTTCAAGCCTCCTACTAACGAATATGCCAGCCTTGATGATGCCATACCATGAAAACTGACCGATGGTTCAAATGGTTCATGTTAATCCAGTTAGGGATGGGCCAAAGAAGGACTATGTTGTTGTTTTTATGTTTTTGTTGGAGGCTGGGTTGGTTATAACATAACTTATGCCACATTAAACTCCGTCCCAAGTCCACTTCTGTTGAAAGCACCGGATTCGGACTTTGGGCGTAGGTCATTGCCACGAAACTCTTCGGAGGGACCATGTTGGCAGTGGTTGGTCCACAGTATTTGCCTCGGGCTGGACATGAACAGACCCCATGCGAAATCAAAGTTTTCCCAGGGAGCTCATTGACTCATGATTATTGTGAATGGTTTGTACGTAAATCGAGTTCTACCGAGTTATGGCTAGTGACTACCCATGTTCCTTGGGCCTGGATACCATTTCTGGCTATTTCTTGTATGCTCATCATGGTGAGAGAGCCCAGGTTTTTCTATGTCTACCTGGCCACTGTGATGATGGCTGCCTGGGCCGGGAAGCCCAAACAGGCGGCTTTAGCGGCGAAGCCGAATCCGCCGAATCTGCGCCGGCTGAGGTGCTGCAGAAGGCCTTTCTTTCCAACAAGCAGGCTCCACCTACAATGTTCATTGATTTTGTCGCCCAACTTCTCATACTTTGATTTATACAGGCCATTTGTATCCATTTCTGGTAAATTTGGGGATGATTTGTGATGATTTACTGTTGCATTGCTGACATTAAGACTTGGGACCTGTGCGCCATGATGCGCCATGCAGGTGAGCTCCCTGTCCGGCAAGGTTGTGGACAAGCTTTCCAAGCCACTCAGCAGATCTCAGCAGATCTTTCCTTCGTCCAGGATGGTTTAACAGTTTAACCTATCTTATTGGAATTTAATGGTGCTTTAATTGGGATTTCATGGAAGTTTAATGGTGTTTCATGCGGGTTTAATAGAAATCCAGCTGTGGATTGAGATCAATCTTGACTGATTTTTGCCAAAGTCCCAGCTAATGGGCAGGTCGGTCCCAAATCTACGGTAATAGGAAATTATCATAGCTAATCTTTACATTGGGGGCAGCCCCCTGATGAATCAACAGCGTCCGTTATCAATCCACAATTCAGATAAATGGATACTACTTGGGCACATCTCTTAACGACCTGGCCAAGGCCACCATTTGTTAACGGATGGTTAGGATTACTGTAACAATTATTCCCATGTTTGTTGCGTTAAAATGAACAGGATCAGCTTGGTTCTGAGCTTGGAGGACCCACCTAGTCGCTGATTTACAACCTTGGTTGGTCGCCCAAGCGTAGATGGTAGGATGTCCCGTAGCTGGTTTAGAAAGGTCATTTTGCTCGGTGGCTCACTTGTGGTGAAGCAGATCTGTCGTGATACGCTATGATTTGCTTGTTGCCGCTTCAATGATCTATCTATGTGGGTGGCTTTCATATGTTTTAATGGAAATGATCCTATGAACTTTGGCGGTTCATTGAGTTCACTGCACGAAAGTTGGACCTGACAGGCTCTTCCCATGAGACATCATGAGACGGAGGAGCTCTGGGTGGGGGACACCAAAAAAGATCATGGGAATCATGGGATGCATAGTGGGGATTTTCGTTTAGAGCATTGATATGTGGCCAGATCCAACTGATCCCAAAATCAAGTGTTTTGTCATCATGTTCCGCACTAAAACCGCGAGTGCAGCTGGGAAATCATCCATGTTCAGACCAAACTACAAGTTTGCTGCCCAGGAAGGTGACAACTCTGATGCCAGATTTTAAAGATAGGGATGTGGAGGCTCAGAGGATTTCGCAAAGCATTTCCTCTGGGAAGATTTGAACGTATCCTTTTTTTGACTCGCCACACCAGCGGGTGAGGATTATCTATTGAATTTTATTGATCTATTCCTGAAGTGTGTTCTCCAAAAGGGTCTGCCATTTGCATTAATTTCCATTCATGATATGAAAAGCCAATGCAATCGAATTTAATATCAGCAAAGGGCGTGGGAAATTACAAAATTACAGGACCTATCTGATTTGACGCTCTACATTATTATACATCTCATCAACTGCGGAATCATACAATTAAATCCAATTAAAATATTTATACAGGATAATATTTATCAACCCCCCCAAGAATCATCATAATTGCCTTTTTTCAGCCGCGGCGAGTCACGAGACTGTGCGACATACAAACGTGTACCAGCAACCCAATTCAAAAACAAATAAGCAAAACGATAAAGGAAAAAAGGAGAGAACAAACACACAAAACAAAACACACATCCATTGGATCGTATCGCCTGTAAAAAAAAAATGCAGTGTACACTATACAGCAGCTGGAGGTTGGTAGTCAGGCAAATACGAACTGGTGGAAAAAAATAATTCTCACCACCTCCAAATGTAAAATTGCCAATATTTTAACAAGTATCCTAAAAATCCTCGGAAAAGGGGTTCAAAAAGACCAATTTAGGACACCTTATTTTTTGATTCAATTTGTCATGGAAGGCTTTAGCACTACCCTTTAAGAGATCTTTATGATGATTAATGGATGCAAGACGGACAATTCGGAACCTATATCTATAGGCAATCAAATAAACAGTTCGCTCGCTAGCAAAGAACGAAGCGGATTCATGCGGATTCGACATTAGGATTATTTTGGAAAAGGGAATTGGGGACAGGATAATTTTTTGGATATCTTGGATAAATATGATGGAAACGTATCGACGCTCATGGAAACGTATCGACGCTCAGAAACTGGTAGAACCGGATTTGATTTTTTAAATGGATTTGTTTATATTGTTTAGCTAATTTTGATATATTGGAAGAG